CCAAGTTAAGAGATCACCTTAATTTCATTCAGATCGCAAAATATGTTTTGGTGTTTGTTTGAAGTCGTTTATCCCACTTAGGCCTACTTTAATAATCAATTATTGTCACATTTTTTAATCTATCTCGCGAGGAAGAAAGAAGGTCATGCATGGAGACGTCTGAGATTCTTAGTGACAGCAAAGACAACGGTCCCTTTCAATATTATACTTTGCGTCAAGTTAAGCGAATGTGCGCATGTTCGAAATGACGCAAACCATAAAAAAGAACCAGTGTGTTTGCTGCCACCAATAGTCTCAAAAGTCTCCCACTGTCCAGTGAATCCCTGAATTTGTGAAATTCAGTGTCTGCATCAAAATATTATGCGTACAGGAAACAAAAGCGCGATTATTCCGAACTTAAGAGAACGGTGTTATTAATAGTTAATCTGTTCGAACCCTGAAGGTCATCTTCTTCTTCGAGAAAAAAAAAAACAAGTGTCAGAAGTGGGATTCGAACCCACGCCTCCATTCGGAGACCAGAACACCCTGCATTCAATGAACAGTGAAGGTTTATGACCTTGAGTCTGGCGCCTTAGACCGCTCGGCCATTCTGACACGACACAAACGGGATGCTAATTATAATCTGATTGCTTCATGTCACATAACTGGAAAAAAATCAAGGAAGAAAAGGTGTCAGAAGTGGGATTGGAGCCCACGCCTCCAATTGGAGACCAGAACACCCAGGACTCACCGTGAACAGTGCAGGTTTATGACCTTGAGTCTGGCGCCTTAGACCGCTCGGCCATTCTGACACCGTGACACAAACGGGATGCTAATTATAATCTGATTGCTTCATGTCACATAACTGAAAATAAAAATCAAGAAAAAAAAGTGTCAGAAGTGGGATTCGAACCCACGCCTCCAATCGGAGACCAGAACACCCTGAAATCACCGTGAACATGTGAAGGTTTATCACCTTGAGTCTGGCGCCTTAGACCGCTCGGCCATTCTGACACGACATGAACAGGATTCTATTAAAATCTGATGGCTTCACAACGGGAAAATAAGTCAAGAAAAATTATGTCAGAAGTGGGATTCGAACCCACGCCTCAATTCGGAAGAACACCATGGAATCATTGTGAGCAGTGAAGTTTATCACCAAGTTGAGTCGAGCAGTGAAGTTTATCACCAAGTTGAGTCTGGCGCCTAAGACCGCTTGGCCATTCAGGCACGACGTTGTTATTTGTACATTACACAAGTGGAAAAACATTTTCAAGCCTTTTCACGCAAGTGGGAAAACATTTTCAAGTCTTTTCACATAAGTGGGAAAACATTTCACGCCTTTTCACACAATTAGGAAAACATTTTCAACTCTTTTCACACAATTGGGAAAACATTTTCACGCCTTTTCACGCTTTTTCACACGTGGGAAAACATTTTCACACCACATTTTCACGAAAATGGGATATGTGACCCCACACCTCCAAAATGTGGCGATTTGACACTAAATTCTTCGCAATCCAGAATTGGAAGTGCGCGAGGTTTAGTGAGGCGGGCTCTTAATCTTATCCCCTTCTTCTTGAAAGGTTTCCCATCCCCAATTTTAAATCTTTCCTTGCAGGCCTAATTACTTGAAGGAACATGACCGGTATAGTTTTTGTAAATGTACCACTGACCTAATTATCACTAAATAACCCGATCCACTTTCAAATACCCCTCCCACAAAACAACGCCTCATTGCCCCTCCCCTTCAACATTCAAACCGAAACCGCACCTGTTAATCATTCCTCCTACCGTGTTGTGCTCTCTGCCACCGACCACCTATCGATTGCTGATGTCAATTTCGAAACCAAATCCATCAAAACTTTTCTGTCTTCCCTGGCCTCCACTCAGCATCCAAACACCGTCAAGTCTTTTGGCCTACATACCTCGAGTTCAACAGCCCCGGGCAGTAAAAGGCACAGTTTCCCCCATTCTTTCTCTTCTCTCTCCTCCACAAAAATATTTTCATAATCTCAACACAGTTTCTCGAGTTACGACCATCTGTGAGTGCAGATTTGTCAACGGGGGATTTCGCTGTCAAAGGTGCTCGGAGTAGGCGTATTAAGTATCGCAGGTCATAACACTAATGGAACTTAGCCCGCAACCCGCTATGAAAACATCCAACTCGAACGAAGGGCACCCAACCGCTAATTTTGGTTCCTTTTACCACCGAGTCGATCCGGGGATAAAAGATGCTCACCTCTTATGTGGCTCATCAGTAGAATGGACCAGAGATGAGTCATTAGAACAGTTTTCAACCTGCAGTTTCTTAATTTTCCTTTCCTTTTCCCTTGCTAATCTATGCGCTTATCTCCGTGGATTATGAATTTTGGTTTCATGGCGATATTGTTGAGAACTTCTTTCAACTACGGTGTCTCATTTGGGTCATTTCTTAGGTATGACTCACAGCCATATTATGTCGACCTTATAGTCGACCGTCATTTATCTATCACTTTGTCGGTACGATTCCTCTAGAACTTCAGTTTCTATATCTGTCGTGCGAGTCGGGCTTCATTTTCATAAACGAAATTACGTCACTCAAATTGTTTATTTCAAGCAAAACATGGCCATTAGATTGTTTTCTAGCAAAACAAAAAATTAATGCAATTGTTCGATTCAAGTTCAGAGGACGACCAATATCCCAACAGAATGGCGGTAAATATCTCCAAGACAGAAAAAAAAATGACTGTGCTCTAAGCAATAAATCTGATATTATCTTTCCTTATTATGGATAGACCAGCATAACGCAAATTTTCACTGTATGCATGAAATCACAACTTGAAATGCTTATCAGACAATTAGGCCTGCTTTGTGAAAAAGTACACGGCAAAAATGTTTGACTGAGCTATCAAAACGTAGTCGCGTCTATTTCCGCAGTTTAGTCAGCAGACTACAGCTGAAATGCAACCGATGTGTATAAACGGTAGTCATTCCCGGTAGTTGCTGACTCCATCTTTGACGAAAATCGATATCACTTTCGAGCAGCAACGGAGACAAGAGGGTGAAATGGGATTGCATTTATAGAAACGGGATGCATCTAGAAGAGGTTTCTTCTTTTGCCCGCGAGAGGTGAAAGATTCCACGTTTTCACTCCATCTGGAGAGGTATTTGGCGCCACATTCTCCAGCCTGGCGTTAAAGACCAGCAGGATCCCTTTTTTTGTCATTTCATTCCCCCCCCCCCCCCCCCCTCGATTTTGAAGACAATGGTACTAAGAATTGAATGTAGAGCGAAAAATCATGTCCATTTATGATATGGAGCCAACTAATCGAGATATATCGGAAAGCACATCAATGTTGAACGTTTGACATTTCCCTCGTGACAATGTTAAAAGTTTGACATTTCCCCGCCTTATTGACAACAGTAGAGGGCGCTGTATTAAAAACGCGGCAATGACGGGGGAAAAAAATTGGTTTAAGTTTAGAAAGTTCACGGGAACTCCGCTGCTTGGCGCCATAGGGTCTGCAATCTGACGAAAACAATCCAGGTAAACAAGACAAAATTAGCCGAAGCTTTCGACTCGCGCAGGAAACATTACCCAGGTCTGCAGGACGGTGATAGTAGTTTAATGACCTGCACAGGATACGGCTGGGGTTCGTTATTGGTATCGATGCTGACACTATCGATTGCAGTGTCCTACTTTCGAGACCATTGACGTAGCAATTAGGCTAATCAGTATCGATTCTTGACGAGACTCGAGCCAAACAAAATGCAAATTGTCACCGTTCCAACTTAGAAAATAACCCAAAACAACACAAAACAACCCCCTACTCCCCCAAAAAAAATCTCTCAAAAAAGAACGCGCGAAAGTGCCTTCCCGATCCGACACGATTTGATTTTTTAAATGCCCAGAAACTTTTAAGTCTGATAAATCAAGTAAAATATAAACCTCGACAACTACATTTCTGTTTGCATGTTAGCAAAAGGAAAGCAAAAGCTGCGAGAAAAAATACAAGGTTTGAGAAAATTAAAGATAGCGAAAGTATAGACAGGTTGAAACTTAATTAATTAGGTTTGCCAATCGACATTATAAAGTGTTTTTTATGTAAATCACAACAGCTCACGTAAGTGGGGTTAACATATTCTGGCTGGGCAGGTTTATCATGAGTATTGAGAGGTAATTACTTCTACTTTTGGAAAGGGGTGGGGTGGGGGTTCTGCCACAAACCCAAATAGTGTATACTATATTGTTAAAGTGTCACCTAGTGTGATGTACAGCGTGTGTCAATAAAAACGTAGGATTCAAAGCGATTTTTTTTTCTGAGAAAATTATGCTACTGGTGTGCCTAATTTGACAAGGATTTGATTGTCCATAATTTCATCTTTGACAAGATTTTTGTTTGGTGGAATTTGGACTTTTGGTTCAAAAGTTATGACAAGTTTTGTGAAGCCCTTCTGAAGCGGGTTGGTCTGATTCAATGACCTTAACACAACGACCAGTTATGTACAATGCAGGTATGCAATGAAGACAATTAAACCAGAACAAAACTTTCTTTGAAACAACTGATAAGTATCACTTAAATTTAATAACTGGACTATCATTGTTTCAAAGCATCATGAATTATTGACGAATAACATTGATTGTGGACTAAAGGATTATGTAAGCCTAATCCTGCCACACATGTCCTTCTTTGTGATCCACAAATACTTTCACCTGTACTGAATTCAAACCTTTCATTAGGTATGTGTGATTTCACAAATCAGACCAGCTTGGAATTTATAACCCTTCTTCAATGTACTCTATCTCTGGACAGGATTGTCCAAATGAGATGGGATAAAAAGCATAGTGAAGAGAAGGAAAGGTACTTTGAAAAGAGGGTTAACATTATGATGAATAGGGGTGGTTTATATTCTTAATATTTTTGTTTCTAATCCTGCGTTTTTATTGACACACGCTGTAGTGTCCAGCACTCCCACTGCCAGAGTGTTAGACAAGTGTCCAGAAATGTTTGATTATTACAATCCACTACCTACTTCGCTATCTATAACTCTTGTTTTGCACATCTTTATAAGTTGCCAAATGCACACACAGGAACATTTTGATCATCTTGCTATAGTGGCACAATAACATCCATGAATTTCAGATAAAAAGCTTCTTAACTTCGTTAAAATTGTATATGGAATATGTGGAGTCCTTTATTAAAATATGAGAAATATGACACTAGTTTTCTTGTTTTGTCTTGATTAAACAAGTTTATTATGGCTATAAACTCTATCTCAAACACCGACTACAAATTACCTTTGGAATTTTACAATTCTTTTTGATTGTAAGTTGTTTCAATATCTAACTTTGAAAACCATTCAAATGGCGTCCATAAAATTACATTGTCCTGGTGCGCACGGCCAAAACAATCTTTACTCACCCCTGCCACAATATTTACATTCTTATAAACTGAAACTCAGTTTTCCCATTCCCCCTCCCCTCCAAAACTCCTCCCCCTCCCTTCCCCCTTCCCTACAAGTTCTCATTTACATATACATGTAGAGCCAATTGAATGAAGCAAGCACAAGCAAAAGAAGCTAAAATTCCAGAGTGAAGAACAACCAACTTTGTTGGTTTTTATCCCAACAAAACGGACTTTAAAGGCTAAAATATTGAGTCTGCCTCTGAACCATTCTCTGACACATGTTCCCACAAGATATGATAATGATGGAATTTTGATGTGCTCAATTAAATGAATTTGTAAAAAAAATTATGGGCAAAATAGTTTGGATATCAGACTAGAATTTAAGCTACCACAATCAGTCAAAAGTCAATCACAAGTCAAGGAACAGGCTCTCCAATGAACTACGACAAAGACGTTCTTTTCATTTCCTTGTGACCTGTTTGTGTTTGCTTTTTTTTCAATGCTTATGAAAAATACGGAATAACTGTAGTATCCAAACGCCACTTCTATGGTTGTGTACAAAGTCTATGAAGAGTCAAGTGCATTTTCAAAGTTTTTTTCTAACAGAATTGAAAATGTTTCCCAGATTCATGTCTTTTCAACTTTTTTGCAGTGACGGACCTTCGCTGAGATAATATATATGATGAAAAAAGTGGCGTAAGGATGCAACATTCTTTCCAAAATCCTTAGTACAAAAAACCCTGAAGGCTACATTTATGGCATCTCTCAAATGTTTACTTGTCTTGCTTCATAACCTGTTGTCAGTCAGTGCTCCCAACAATTCAAGTCCATCACAAGTCCTCCACTCTCAGGTCACGTCACAAGCCTTTCAAATAAACTGTGACAAAAGCATGTCTTATATTATCGATCATCCCCTGTTAGTTGTGACTGGACTTGTGAAAGAGACTTTTTGATTTCCTTATGTCCTGTTTTCTGCCAACCATTCCTCTTCATGCCTACAACGTCTGAATGATGAGTTTCCTCCTACTGTCGTGGGTGAACTTGTGAGCCTTGAAGATCTCGCTCTCAAAAAACTGGGCCAAATTGTGGATGTTGATCTGACGAGCCTGGAACACACAAAAAGAAAGACGACAAGTTGTAATTATGGTGGAAAATATGAACAGCTTTTTGTTGTTTTTCAGTTTTTCCCCCATTCTTCCCCAATACAAATATGGGCAAAAATCCAATATTGAATGTACTTCACTCTGACGCAAATTCCACATTATGAATAGGTTGGTTGCTGTACCCGCTGCTATATCAGATTTGAACCAGCCATCCGACCCCAGCAAGCTCGGTGGTCGAGTGGTAAGATGTCTGCACTAGTAAGCAAGAGGTCGTGGGTTCAAGTCCTACCCAATTCGTGAATTTTTTTTTTGCTGACAATCACTTGACAGTTAGCACAACACTGAGTATACAGTGTTTACAAAATACGCTGGTGAAAGGCAAAACCCGATGTAGCCCTGATGCAAATTCCATCTTATGAATTGTTCAAGAGGGGCATTCTCACCTTATCAGCCAGATCTTTGTCGGATATTTCAATGACGTCCTGATCTGAGCCATAGCGGGTTCGGTAGAATGTCATCTGCTCGGTCACAAGTTGCTTCAGGATGAACAGCAGCAGTTCGTTGTTGTCACGACGGAAGCTCAAGTATCTGGCGAAGTTCTGCATCAAAAACATGAATGAAATTTATCAGAAAGGTGACAAATAAGGACAAGGGTAAATTGGAAATTAAATGTGGGATGGGTATGTGTGTGTGTTAACAAAAGGGGAGTTTTTACAAGAGGTCCCCAAGTTCCTTACAAGAAACACATTTGGGTAATTCAAGCCTTATGCAATGTACTTGATAGAGCTTTTAAGAGCTCAGTGAGTAAACCTGAAAATCTATTTTTCAAATCTTATACATCCATCATCTAGTCATGGTCAAGGAGATTACAGACTAGGAGTTTTGGATCATTTCTCTGAATCATTAATTAGATATCATGGCCCTGTCGCGGACATTACACTTCCTTTCATAATGCTGGAAATGCCCATTTTTATTTCTAATTCTGTAAACGGCTTTTTTTTCCAAACAATCATTTTTATGGGTCAATGCATCTTTTAACATAAATAGTAAAGTTGTAGAATTACAAGTTACGTATGCAAATAGTTTTTCTAATGGTCCTCTCTGAATAAAGATATTGTTTGAAGAAAAAAAGACATCCATACCAAAGCTTAGAAATACATCAAATTTGATTTTAAAGCAAAAGCTGACTACTGTGGCCAACTACTTATTATAGCCAGCTTATCTGTTCCCATGGCAACATCCAATCAGACCCTTTAGATTATAACCCACAATTTCACTGTCTTCACTGGTATTTCGTCCCATACCTTTCGCATGCTGCGCATGACGCTGTATTTCTGTGTATCAATGAAGCTTTCCAGCATGATGCGAATGGACATGTTGACGTCATCTTCGTTGACATACTCTCGAAGGTGCATACGAGCGTGGGACTCCGCCATACGAATGACGGACTCAATGTGTCGTACGGTGATAGGAATACTGCCAGTTGCCTGCAAAATTAATTTCATGGAAAAAAAAGACTTAAACTTGAAAATAACCAAAACAACTTTCTCAGTGTCTGCAACGCATTTAATTTCCATGGCAAAACTTACCACATTTCTTTTAAAGGCATATCGTTTTATTTGCTTTTTACGCATTTTGTATATTTCCAATAACACCACCACTCAAAATCCAAAGAAGAATATTCAAAACTTAACCCGTTGAAGTTTCAGCTCAGTGGATATTGCACTTTCCAGAAAACAGTGAAAAACCATTTTGATCAGGAAACATGGTTTTGTTAATAGCACTGTATATTTCCAAAAATCAATAAGTTGACTGATCGTTGGAAATCACCTACATTTCTTGATTTCTTCTAAATGACAGCAAGCCAGACGGAATAATTTCACAGGGTGTTTAGTACCAGTACAATCTTTAATCCAAGTAAGCTTTTTGATAATAATTTGGTAGGTTACTTTTGGGATAAATGAAAATAATCCTACATGCCTATAATCATATCTGATTGATAATCTTACCATAGATTCCCTCCTAAGCTCCGAGTACATCTTGGCCACTTTGTCCTGGTCCATACGATGAAGTTTCGGGTGGACCTTCTCCTTGGCGTAGATGATGTACTTCTTGAAAAGTTCTTGAGGAATCTTCTCTAACCCGGAGGTGGTTGGAAGCTCCTGGACGTCAAATAGGAAGAAAAGAAATCAATTCCATCAACAAAATCGAGGAATTAGGTGATATCCTTGACAAGCACTTGACTACTTTACGTGTAAACTCATACTATCAACAACTCATTAACTCTCTGTAGGTATGGCGGATCATTTATACGCATTTCCCTTTCCGGCGAGTTATTCAAAACTGTTTGTTCTCCGCAATGGTTAGGTCCTAACCATCGATAGTACTGATACAAAATTCCTCTTTTCTTGATAATGACAGCATACCAGGCTCAACGATTTCACAGGATGTTTCATACCATTATATACTTGCAATCAAGTGGGCTTTTTCTTAAAGTTGGTGTATACGTGCTTTTTGGGTGTGGCACCTTGAAAAATAGTTTTTACAAATTGAATTTACAATTTTCCAGCATTACATTAGTTATGAGCCATCGCACGAAAAAAAAAAATCAGCCCACGACAAGTAATCAATTAATTAATTTCTACTTTTGAATTAAGAGCGGGATGCTCCTAATTCGTTCTGAATAGTGTGCGCAATTTCTGAACTGGAGCGCGCCATTTAAAACCAGTTTTTAAAACTGTGTAAAGGCCTGCAAAAGTATACAAGCAAATTTATTTGTTGCACAACATAATATTCCTTTAAATTTCAAAATCGAAATTTTGCAAAAGCACGTATTTAATATTTTTGTGGTTTTGTTTTTCATTACTTGCAAATAATCCTTTATACATTTATCATCAAGGATGTTTCGAGTAACTTGTGTAGTGCTCTGCAACAACATTTGACGTTCACATGACTTAATGTCTCCTTTTTTTATTGGTTGATGGTCTTGACATACTTACCGGGAGGTTTTCTTCCAATTCACCACTGTTGGATGGGTGATGTCGAATGTGGCTGTCCGTCACAAACCTTGCCAACATTTCATCCTGAAATAAAAGAAGTAGATTAGGATGAAAGAAAGTGGTGATGTCACACTTAAGGATGACAAACCCACTAGCAGGGATACAATATATAAGGACACTACCTATTTTTTATTCCTTCTACAAAAATTGAGACATTCTCCTGATGACGGGGCATACTGACTAAAACCTTAACATCTTTGTGTCTCCCGAGAACCAATTCTCTTACAGACTAATTTAGCGAAACAAATGAGAATCCATTATGAACCAAAATTCGCACGCATGCCACAGGCATTCTTAAAGACGAGGCGCACGTTTATTTTGGTAACCCTATTGGTTGAAGCTGAGCGCAAGCCTGGTTCCAAGTCAAAAATGGCTCCTAATTTGGATCGTTGAATTAGTTTATAAAGCTTATTTGTTGTGCTTTCCCCTCAAATCACAGGAAGCCCTAAATCCGGTTCATCAGGCTTCATAACAGATTCTTAACTATTAAGAAGGAGGCTTTACAAATATAAATTTATTTCTTTTCTGCTTTCTTAAAATTTTCTGATGATTTTAAAAGTAAACAAAGGACCAACATGATCATTGCAATGATCGTCAAGCCTCCCATCTTCACATGAAGGTCCGTGCATTTAGCTCCCAAACTTAATTTGAAAAATAATTAATAATTAGGATTACAGACAAAAAATTAAGTAACTGGAGTTTCAAGTTTTACCTTCACTGGATCCACGATATCCCTCACAACACACAAGATATCAAAACGGGAGAGAATGGGTTCTGTCAGGTCAACCTAAGAAAATAAAATTGGAAAAAAACAATATTAAATTCTTGTGTTACTCGAAACACCATAGACCTTAAATTGGGGGAAATTCTCCAATGGTAATGGACAATGGTAATGTGCATGATCGACAAGAAAGTGAGGACAACAGTTGTCACTTTATCATTTTGTTATATTTTCCATAAGCTGGAAATTTAAATGCATCTTTTCTTAAAAAAAAACAAACTGTTTTTGTTCCTTTTACCGGATCCATCTAGTCAGGAAACAAAATAATTCCAACAAAACGTACATGGCTCATGTTGTAGCCTGCAGTGTTGGAAACTTTGACTCACATTTTCTGAGAAGGTCATGGATTGATTGTAGCGTCCTCCGATAGGATTAGCGGCCGCCATGATGCAGCATCGAGCGTGGAGTGACGTGACGATTCCAGCCTTGGATATTGAGATACTCTGCTGTTCCATGGCCTCGTGGATACTGGTACGATCGTTGTCGTTCATCTACCAAAGCAAATGCACAATGTTGTCTTAAAAAAAATCAAGTTGAACAAAGAAATTCACTTAAACGAGGTTTGAACCTACAACCTCCAGATTGCAGTTCCAACCATATATTTGGGGCGTTCCCCAATTTGTCAATGTCATCGGTCAAGGGGAGTGATCAAGTTGAAAATTTCATCAATTACTTTTAGGGCTGGGATAAAAACCAAGTTTAAATTTCAGAATTCAGAGTAACGGTTTCCTGTTTCAGAGTGACATTTCTCCCCATAAACTAAGAATATCCATGGTGGTAAACGTGTTTGTTAATTACATACTTTTGCAATTGTTTAAACATGATTATACTTGATATTGCAATAGAGGAAAACACTATATTACAGTATCAGTAAACTGTCTGATGTTTCATACATTTCAAGCCACTAAAAAAAGCAGAGAATAAATTTCGTATCAGAGTCGGATTTGGATGAGGGGAATTTTCCTACCTTTGCTCCCACAAGAACTGGTCTATGGAATATCCCCTTGCACAGCAAGGGTCTTATGATATGCGAGCAGATTGGCGATTAATTATGCAAAAACAAGACTGCGTCTTGACCTAGTGATTCTGACCATTCAGCGGGCCCCTTCTATTGGGTCTTCCGTAACACATTGTTGTATTACAAAAACATGGTAGCCAAATTGACCAATCAACAGCTTAGTCCACATCTCTGATCGAAATGACATCACAATTTTTAAAGTTGCCTCCGACTGGCTGGCTCGTGGAGTCATATAAAAAAGGGTATGCTCGCATATATAACAGATGATACTCAGACTACACAAGAGCTTGCAAATGGGTAAACAAACCGTGACGTCATGATGTTTCAAGTCGTCTGAAACAGACAGTAAGACAAACAGACCAACCAACCTTATCAAACTCGTCAATAATGCAGACTCCTTTATCGGCCAGAACCAATGCCCCGGCTTCCAACGTCCACTCTCTAGAGACTGGGTTTCTCTGGACGTAGGCCGTCAGACCAACGGCCGAAGCCCCTTGACCGGTCGTGAACACCGCACGGCTTGCTGTTTTCTCGACATACTTCAGGAACTGTGACTTGGCTGTGCCGGGGTCCCCACACAATAGGATGTTAATGTCGCCGCGGACCTTGTGCTTTTGACCTGGATAACAAAGTCAGATTTCTTTATTATAATAGTGTCATTTATTAACCCTCCTTCTCTGGCTGGCAAATCAACAACACCATCCTGCTTCAAGAGCGGGTCACACTCCGTAAAAGTCTCACCTGGATTTTTGGGTTCTCCGCCGAACAGCGCCAGAGCGAGACCTTTCTTGATATCATCGTGACCATATATGGAAGGAGCAATACTGCAAAATATCTGGAATGAAAAGATTTAGGGGAAAAATGTTGGAACCTGACGTCAATTTTTTTCTTCATATATCATCTCAATGAAGGTCAGTCATTGCAAAAATGATGATAAGACATGAATCTGGGACTGAGAAGCATTTCCAATTTTGTTAGAAAATTTTCTTGACTCTCCATAGACTTTGTACACAACTGTTGAAGCGGCGTCCGGTTGCAACATTTTTCCGATTTAGGATGTTACTTTTTGTAGTAAATCAGTTTCCTTATCATTATTCTCTCACCATTTTTTGGGGAGGGTGGAGTGGGGAGGGGGGTTGAAATAGATTGAGCAGAATCCTCGGCTTAAGCAGTTTACATTTTAATGATGGTGAAAATGATTAATAAAGAGACATTTTTTAACTTCATTAATTCGTGTCAAGCAACTGTGTAAAGTTGTACTAAAATATCTTTGATAGCTTTTACAAAATGGAAAACAAACTGAAAGTTGAATGGTTATATGATGCTTACCCTTTCTCCAATGCGTTCGTCTTTCGACAGCGCCACGATGGCCTTGATGTCTTCGTCCGTCAGGCTTCCCACGGCCATCTTGTCATCTTTCTTGGTGATGTAGTTGGCTTGAATGACAGTGGCAAAGACTGGAAAACCATTGGCCGTGTTTAGAGAACCGTCGTAATTGTTGTGATACACGCCCGTTAACTCCTTTTTGGGTTAAAAAAAAAGAAAAGAAAAGTATTTATCAAATGTCTTCTCCCACAAATCAAGAAGCAGCAGCTGCCATGCGACCACGGGCACAGTCAGGCTGAGATCAAAATTGTTGACTTTTGCAGAGGGAGGAAAACCGGAGAACCCAGACAAAAACCCTCGTGGCACAGGAGAGAATCAATGAACAACTCTACTCACACATGACCTGAGCCGGGGATCAAACCCGGTCTCCTGCGTCGATAGGGTAGCACCACATGCACTGCCCTACCCATCCCTCCTCTGTGCAGACCAATGCCATATTCTTTGTACTTTTAAGACACATCAAGACCTACGTGAAGTAACTGTGGCTGGGGTCGAACTTCATCAGTCCTGCAGAATACTCCAAAACTTTGTGGCAGATTTTGAAGGATCCGAGTGTTAGGGTTAATTTGTTACTTCAAGTGAAACTTACAATTTCATCGCCTGGCTTTGCACTGTCGACAAGATCTGCTAGCAAGATGGCGTCTTTGGATCGCGGCAAACGACCAGCGGCAACTTTGCCCGGGCTCTCTTGAATCGTGATTCTCTGATAGTTCTTGTATAACGTCTGCCGAGGACAAGACAAAAGAAAGTTAGTACTTCACTTCCACAAATCAACCGTGAGAAATATGAAGCTACAACTGCTTACTGATCAGATTTACCTTAAACATGCAAATTTTCAGTCAAGTCCTTTTATAAGACCGACAAGTATACTGGACTATAAGGTTGGGTAAGATGGACATAAGCTTCAGAACTAAGCATTGTGGTCAGGTTTTTTGGTTTTAATTGAGGGTAAGAATTTTGACAAAAGGTATGCTAAAATGCCCGAGAATTTCCAGAGGGAATAGGAATAATGTTGTTTGCTCATATTTAGACATCTTGCATACGTGTGCAAAGGCTGGTTCATGCTCAACACAAAAATGCAAAGCGAATTTCATGATGTCAACGATTGAAGTTTAATTGTGTCGCGCTTGCTGCTACCCCAAAAAAAAACCACTTCACACTTAAATTTGCATTGAGTATATACCGGCTTTAAGTCGTGTGACAGTACAATATTATTCCTACTCATTTGAAGTTCTCGGTCATAATCATAATACTACGGACTGACTCCTACTGTACCAACATTTACATCAATGTAATGGCGGAAGGACGTAACTGCAACTCTGTGTTCATACAATGACAGCACTGTCTTCTCATGTTCACAAATGAGTGCTACATGCGCCCACAGCCCCTAACTACTATTTTATGATTATTTGTTATAATCAATCTTTGGCATTCTGCCAGGATGAGCCCAAGCTAATATTTCAATTTATTTCCAGCAGGGTACCTTTTCAGTTGCAATAGGCGTGGGCGGCATTACGTCGTAATCAACCGAACCGATGAAAACATCTTCTCATTAGCAAGTGTTTCATTGGTTGCTATGTGATACCATTCAGCACTCAAGACTCAAGAACCATAAAACTTTAAGTCAATATGTCTGGGAGCTATAGCCAATGTAAAGAATTCCCGGTATCCGCACCCACCAATACTCAGAATTCAGATTTTTAGCAGAGAATACCCCTTTACCTCTTCCATGTTGATTTCAAACGGTCCCCCAGACTGACACTCCGGGCATGACCCGGGCCTGACCTCCTGGTTCTGATTCTGATAGAAGGGACCTAGGACGAAACCACACTTTGGGCAGTTGTACTTGACCATGCTCAGTTGTGGTAGGATCCCTGTAGTGGACGTGACGACACCGCTTGTCCGGATAAGCTGGTTTAGATGCAGTTGTCTAGAAAGAGAGAAGACCCAAACTATTTGATTTTGCAAGGAATGAGTGGCCTTAACCCTAACTCCCTAGCATGATTTATTAGAAACCATACCCATCCTGGCAAATTCCAACACCATATGGGAAACTGCACACACGTCTTTCTGACTTTGATTCTGGAGGTGTGCCAACCCAATGTAAAAGACTGTCAGTTTAGGGGTACTGTACCCATCCTGACAGATTCCAACAAAACATGCCGTTGGGGTTTGATGGGTTGAGTTCTGTTAGGGTAAACGTCTTTACTGATCCCTGCATTCACTGTTCTTTCAATTCTGCATGGGACAGTTTGTAATTCCTTGAAACAAAAACTTTAAATTCAAATCACAAGGAACTTGTAAGCTGCGTTCAATTTTGCTCGGTCACACCGTGTTCTTAGTAGCTTTCTAAAATTTGGTCCTAATAGCCTCTCAAACTATAACCTTCCTTGTTCCTTCAAACTCCATCTAGAAGTGACGAGGAATTTGAAGGATCCAATTAAGAAGGCAGACCCAGCTACTGTTACTTTACACGGGATATGATTCTGTTTGTAACTTCAAAACAACAAATTGACTTCCTGAACAGTATGGATTTTGGAAGTTTGAGGAGGCTTCCAAATCTTTCTTAAATGCCGAAGGAGATGAAAGAATTGATAATTACACTTTGACAGATAGTTTCTTAAGTCAGAAATCGACCAGCATCTCACACTTTCTCTGTTTCCAGGGCGACACTGGAGAGAAGTTGCCTTACCTTAGTGAACGGAGTTCTTCAACCAACGGCAGCTCGGCGATGCGGACGTGAATCTCCTTGGCTATCTGCTCGTACTTGGGGAACATATACAGCACGACTTCCTTTGCCGCTTCGTCGAAGATCTTGAGCATCTCGGCGGGTGCTTCAGGGAGGAAGTAGGCCAGGACTTGCTCCTGGGATGCTAAGATGTTGTAGTCAATCACAAGGCTCTCCTTGTTGGCTAAGTGAGGACAATAATATCACTTTCAATAAAAGACAATGATCATTATTTAAAGCAATTTTGCCTCAGGTTGACATCAATTTTGATATTGGATTTTGCTGACCAAGAGCTTATGAAAAGACAACTGACAAGCTTACTCGGATATGGGCTCTGTGTGTGAACAATTAGGGCGCTTTTTGACAAACGATGTAAACAACAATGGCGGTCGTAGCAGAAATAGTGCTTCATTGTCCCCATGGCACATCTCACAGTAACGTACATCAATTTACGTTGTACCAGCTTGGCTACCACCTCGTACTCAAAGTCACACTAATAAAATACAACGCGGTGGAAACAACACTTTCAACAGCGGGAAAGATCAAGGTAATGTACCCCGTGCTTGTCCTGAAAACTTTTTTAACAGTAGGTGCATTGTAAGCGTATTTGACAGCTTAAATTTGACCGTGCAGTATCATTTTTGTTGGAGCAGTTTTCATGTTGATTTCATGCTTTTATCTCAAAATAAAAATGCATAACTTCATTACCTTCACACATCTGACGGATCTTTTCCCGATACAAGTTGTGTCCCTTATCGTCAACAAACGTCCGGAGGAAGTTCTTGAATCGATTGTAGATCTCCAGCCTGGGTCCTGCCATGGAGACCCACTCCCTGACGGAGTGACCCTTCATGTCTTCAAGATTCTCAATACTCTCAATCATCTTACAGAAGACCAAAATGATGAAATTTGATAAAGCGGGGCTTGATTTTCACATTAAAATCAAGCCATTGTTGTAGTCGAGTCTATCACAAGTTGTCATTAAGAATGACTTCAAATGATTTCTTATTTGTTGGGTAGGTAGTTTGCTATTCATAATCACTCTTGAAGGACGACTGCATTAAGGAGTGCATCAGAATTATAAAAATCACACACATCAGATGTAACTTGGACAGTGAGAAAGTGGACCCCAAATTTATAGAATGACCCACTTTCCCTAGACCTCTTGCTTTTTACCTCTTCATCATCCTCCATTCCTTCAGCTGCCCTCTCGGCAAGACGTCGACGTCTTGTCGGTCTTTCATCTTCTTCATCACTCTCCTCTGATGAAAACAAAAACCCAAACAGATCCTGATTGATATCATAATGCTGCAAAGTTTACTTCTTACAAATTAAACTGGATATCTGTCTTGTAGAAGCTTTGAGGGGCATTGCCTGTTCTACACATGTACAAACAAGTTCTGGTCTCCAGGCTAAGATTTCAACTGTTTCTTACCATAGAGAAGTCCAGGTCTCATGCGACCCGTTGCTATGGCTTCCTCTCGGTCTCTCTTCCGCATCAATCGTTCGGCCTCCGCTCGCTCGTCGGGCGCCATGGAGTCATAGTCCTCCTCGTCAAGATGATCCGCATCATAGCGATCAAGCTCAGGGATCACGCGGTAATCTCTGTAATAATTATCATCACCGTTTTCTTTGGTCAAACTTCCAGACCGTGGCATTGCCTTGGATGGATTAGCTAAAGAGGAAGATTTCTTCGACTTTTTTCAAACTGAGAGTGGAGCCAACTGATTTACTTTGATCAAGAATAGACTGGCACATGCAAAAGTTTATGAAAAAGTGAGCAGCGCGTTTTCAAAAATAGAGTTTGTTCCATTTTCCAGTGAAGGACAAAATAAGTGGCCTTCTAAATTTTTGGAACTCTCAAGATACAGGACAGAGAAGTCCAAATTTCATCTTTTTTATCTTTCTTTTTCTTTTGTATTCTTTTCTGCCTTTATTTAATTGGTTTCATTTTAATCTAGTATTTGTAAACAAAAAAATTCTACCTTAAATAAAATTTTCTCTTAAGTATATGTTTTTATAGACTTAATGATACTTTTGTGTGTTCTGAGGGGCAAAATGCAGGATCCAGATGCCACTTCCTTGGTTGTGTATAAAGTCTAGGGAGAGTCAAGTGCATTTTCAAAGTATTTTCTAACGAATGTTGTAAATGTTTCTCAGTGCCAGATTCGGGTCTTTTTTAACATTATTGCAATGACTGCCCTTCATTGAGATAATATATGACGACAAAAGTGGCATTAGGATGCAACATTCTTTCCATTCTGTGTAACTGTTCATTTTTTGTTTATTGAAATATTTCTACATATATTTATTTTATGTAAGGCCAGTCAGTCAGGGGAGCCCATTCTTCGGGAGCTGTTTGATTTCAACCTTTTATATTATTTGCTGCTTTTACACTTTTGACAATTTGACTTTTATTTGTTATCAATATTATTACATCCTGAAAATACAGTAAATGAAACTTATGTAATTTTGTAAAACTATGTAATTTTGAAAAATTATGTAATTATGTAAAATTATGTAAATTTATGTAAAACTATGTAAAATGTCCAGTCTACCTTTCCATTCCATCACCAAACAACTCCTCCCCTTCCTCATCCTCCTCCTGAACAATTTCCTCCTCACCACGAATCTCCGATTCATCCTCAAACGGAGGAAGGTCGCTGCGTCCAGGGCTGCTAGAGGGCGCTCCGATCGAGCGATCGTGGCTCGTCGCGTCAGAGAAAGGTCCTGGTGAGCTTGGTTCCTGTTTGCAATTTCAAAATTGGTTGTGTTTTAAGGCTTATGTCACATAACCTGGCTGGGGGGGGGGACATTTGATAGCCGCATTATCTCAATGGAGGTCAGTCACTGCAAAATGTTGAAAAGACATAAATGTGAAACTGAGAAACATTTCCAATTTTGTTAGAAAATAGGGCCAAGGACTTTGAAAATGCACTCACTGACTAGAGTCTCCACAGACTTTGTACACAACCAAAGAAGTGACATCTGAATACTACATTCTTTCCAAATCGAGCCCCAGCATTCAATTTCAAGTTCAACTTCAACCAGTCAACACTAACTTGACTATTAGTATTAAAGGACAGTACTACTAGTGAGTGTACTCATGGAGGTTCTTATTCCTCCATGGTGTACTTTACTTAGTGAGAGTAAAAGCCCACGATCACCACGGATTTTTGCTCCTTTTATTCAAGTATTTAATCAATTATTCAACAACCCACAAATATTAACCAATTTGTAATGTTAAAAACACTTGTTAGTCCAGACCTGCGAATGATATTGGGCCATATCTCACACACGTCACCCAGTAAGTTGCGCCATTCGGCATGCACAATTTAAATGCCCAAAACCAAAACAAAGTCATGTGGCACATGGCATCAGAAATAATCGTGTAAACGGGACATTTCGAATAAATGTTTCGATAAAAGTCAAGAGTTTGTATTCAGTTATGGTATAAAATCCAGGAAAGTGTGTCTTACGTTTTAAATTACGAAAAGTGCGATATTTTAGAACAAATTCACTTACCGCCATGCTGAACTGATTCTCGCAGTGTCGAATAAAAATCCCGCACAAACGTACCCGTGATCGAAAAGCGCGCGAAATGACAAGGCTCTGAAAGGTCAAAATGAATATTCACATATCAGCCTTTAAATGATGAATATTCATATAATTGAACTCGCTCAAATTAACTGACGTCAATAAACATGGCGTGATAAGATTGTGTTGTGCGTGACTAATGTGTGGGAAGTTTTTGAGGAAGTTCTTTGGAATTCGGTACAGTTGGAAACTTTGTTTTCTGTTTATCATCATAGCAGCCGATACTTTGCGCCACATGCTTCTTGAAATCGACTGAGTGACATGCAATATACAAACCAACTTGCAAGTGAGTCAACTTATTTTTTTTCTCAACCATTCATGTTCCATGCTCATTCACGTTCACTGCTGCCGAGTCGAGTACTGTGCCGTATGGCCATGATGGCCGTACCCTAGCCCTGGTGGACTCCCTTTCCTCCCTACGTTACGGAGGGAGTCCTGAGTACACATGTGCTCACAACCGAACGAAAACATTTCTTACCAATAATTTCAATATTTTTACCTTGTTGGAGGAGCTAATTTTTACGTCGTGTATTCTATGTGTCCTTATCTGTTAGCACGCTAGGTTCAGGAATTACATATGCGATGCTGACTGACGTCAATCAGGAAAATAAACTCGAAAGCAACGTTTAACTAGACTCTTTTCATCAGTTTCTCACCGCCGAGTCTATTCTAGTCGTACATGATGTACGTCTGTGCAGCGTGTAGTCTGGTTCCCTAGACCGGGCAATTATTCTCGACGCTCATATCACGTCTGGTCCGGGGGCCAGACTATGCAGCATGAATATGCAGTGCGCACGCGCGATTTGCTTAGTAACCACCCTCATACGCACGCGCACTTACTTGAAGGCGCGGTCGCTAATCCAATGACCGAGCGTGTTTTCGCGCCAGTTACCAGAAACACGTTTCGGCTTTGGTCATTGGTTGAGCGTTTTTCGCGACATCGGTTGACTGGAGTGACGTAACGGTTCCAACCAAAACTAAACAAATGAGGGCGCTAGCGTGCGTACGCGCTTGCGTACGCACGTACATTGTACATGACGTACGACTCTGGAATAAACTGATGAAAAGAGACTACAAACACGTACAAGTTTAACGTTGCTTTGGAGTTTATTTTCCTGATTAACGTCAGTCAGCATCGCATATGGAATTCCTGAACCCAGTGGCCAATAAATAAGGATACATAGAGTATGTAGGCGTGAAATAAGCTTCTATAACGAGGTAAAACATAACAAAACTCTGGTAAAAATGTTGGGATGGTTTCATGTAGAAAAGTCTTGTCCTGGACGTTAGTCGTATTGCAATGAAGACTTCGTCCAACCTGGGCTAGCCGTACCCGTACACAGTTTACTGGTCCATTTCATTATTGTAACAGTGCAACTGCAAGCATCATCATCACAGTTTCAAAACTGCATTATTGTGCATAGCTGATAGGAAATCGTCTGGGAGGAATTTGTTTGTATTTTCATGGATGAATAAAAATATTTTCCTTCTTCTGCCATAGCCATGCCCTCCAGCACCCATGGTTTATGTTGTTTGTTTTTTTAGCTTCAGTCCATCATTTGCTGCTATTCAAAAAGTACCGGTAACTGACGTAATTATTGTTGAAAAACGTACTTGGTTTAAATATAATAAGGGGACTAAACTACCTGTGAAATTATTCTTTCTGGCAAGCTGTCATTTTGAAGAAATCAAAGAAAGAAGGCCTTTCCAACGATGCGTCTTAAGACGCACCGTTTTTCCGTTAGTAGTTCGTTTTTTTATTGGGCGAAGTGCGCAAGCGTTGACACAACGCACACGGTTGCTATAATTCATCGGATCGATGCGCGATATCACATAGCTGCAATCGGCTCAGTGAGAACGTGTCTCGGACGCTGAATTCAGGCCCAATTCAAAACATGATTCAGCAACGTTTGATTTGAAATCAAGATCCTAGAATGCTGTTTTTCTCGAAATGTACAGCTGAAGCTGAGCTGAAAGTTCATCAGGTTAGTTGTTCAGCACCCTTCTTTAGATTTTGAGCACGTTTGTTGCTTTAAACGAACAAAATTACCAATGATGGACTATACCTTTAAAAAAGATTGCCTTGGCTTGTATTATGCATTTATAAGCATTTTCACTTTCCAAATACCGTATCCTAGACCCGTGAACGTGGCTATATATATACAAAGAACTACACTTCGATCTACAGTAAAAATACACTATTGATATCCGCGGTTACAGTAATCGAGTGACTGTAATGTGCTCTAGCCGAATTTCGGCTCAATTTGACAGAATATTTGCATCAAAATGAGATGCACAGAAAATTCAGCAGGATATTTTTTTCAGCAGAATTATGTAGATCGGAGTCTCTGAAGGAAAAAGAAACAGATTATAGAGAAATAAAGCACATTTGGTTTGAAAAAGCTTCATTTTTTTAAAAAGAACCCTGAAACAAGTTTACCCTTGCACAGTGGAGCAGCAATACTGAGTGATTTGGCAGTGGATTTAGCAGAATTTTAACATGGTACTACGGTCTTCCTGCCAGCATATTTTTTCCTGCAGCATACATCGTATTTTAACCAATCACATCACGAACCCTAACATGAATATATATTTATCACGCAGTCTGGATGGAGACACTTTAATAGGTTCTCGTTGTGTTTTCAAGTTAAACTATTTCATTTGGAAGCATTGAACATCATCACCATTTTGCTTCATGGTCCGAGATCGGACTCTACAAGCTGCCTTTTTGAAAATTTGGATGGGATTGCCTGATCACGTCCAAATGTCAAAATCGGAGATTTGTATAAACCAAGTCTGTTGTTTCTTGGACTCATCCCAACCATGAAACAAAATATCAGGAACTAACCTTCAAATCTTTTCAAAATAATTATAAACATGATTGAGTTTCAGGTATCTGTTTGGTTTCTCTTTGTTATGACTTGCCAGTTTTCAAAAGTCAAAACTGATTCCAAGAAGTGAAATCTGATCTTGCATCTTACACGGCAAAAGCTGTTTGCTTTGCAGTGTACGTACAGTCTGTTGAATAATTTCCTGCTTATAATTCATCATGCATTCATTCATTCGATTGTGAATTGTTTTGTGAATGATCAAGTCTGAGTATCAGTCAAAATGCAGTTAAAATAATAATAAAAATGCAGACATTCAACATGACCAAGCTAACATTGATCAACCACTCAATACTCTCAAAAAATCATTTCAACTTATTATTCTTTAAATTTTTCTGTGCAGTTCCTTGTATTTGACCAACAATAGTTTTCTTCATTTGATATTAAAAGAAAAAGACTGCTGTGTAAACTGTAAAGCCACGTATGGTTTTAACATGGGGGTAGGGGTTTCAGGTTGGCGTATCGATACTTTCCTCGCCTTCCACCGCTGTGAGTGATCCGGATTCCAATCCCACCTGGGCCAACATGTGGATTGGGTTTTCAGTCCCTGCCTGATTCCGTGGGTTTTCCCTAGAACATTCTTCCCACCTCTAAAAATGTAATTTCTTCTCATTGTCTTCTCTACAGGTTTCTTCAGGCTTGCGAGCTACAATGCCTAGGGCGCTTTTGAGGAATCTTAGATTTTTTTACCAGAAATACATAATAACATCATAGTAATTTATTTCTACAGTTGAATATTCATCAGAATGACCTCTGAAGCAGTCCCAGTTGACCTGACGCTAATCCACGTCGTGCCTCCTCCTGAGGAGTATCTCAACATGACAGAAGATCCTAGTAATAGTAGTAGTGCCTATAGTAACGTCACGGACAGTGACATGCTCACCACCATGAATGGTAGCCACTCAACAGCAGCGCCCATTGAGAACATCCAGCCATGCCTGTATGTTCTCTATGCAGACATTGGTTCGTCCAAGTAAGTCTTCAATTTTTTTTTTAAGTTTCAAGACATTACACTGGTTGAATTAAGATGCTAAACTGCTCTTACAAAATGAACCAGCATTATCAGCTGTCATGTCTAGGTAGTCGGATTCCTTGACTAACTCAGAATGCATTGAGCATTGAATGGTATACAAATAATGAATGTTTATGAGTGCAATGGTAAGAATAATTTCATGAGGTGAGAATTGGAATCTTCCATTCCGCGAGGCGAAAATGGAACATTCCATTGAAATTATTCTTTCCATTGCACGAAAGTGAAACATTCATTGTTTGTTTTATAAATTCTCGTCATCTGATTGGTCGGAGCCGCCAAAAGTGTAACAGCGCATTGACACGTGATCAACGACTCACCAATCAGATGACGGGGATTTATTCAGGCGTTACATAATAAACTCTAAACCCCGACATTTTTCTCTTACTCCTACAACAGTGTACGTATATGGGACCTAGCTCTACTCATTCCCAACACACTATTCCTGATCTTCCTCATATTCAAATGCAAGATTGCCATCACCAAGCTACGCCAGACCAGTAGTGCAATCTTCTTTGCCTTCTATGCTATGGTGAGTCAATGTGTCCAGACAAGTTCCTTTTAATAAAGTAAAATGCTAGGGATCTCAGTAAAAAAAAAATTCAAAAATTAAAATCAAAAAGAAAATCAAGCTTTTAGCCAGAGGAGTCTTTGAGTGTCTTTTGGACACACTGTACACTATTTTGGTTCCATAAGATTTGTTTTATGTTGACATGAAGAAAAGATGAAAAATATCAGGAACATGACAGGTTACAGTTTTTTTAATTTTTAATTTATAAATTATAATTCAGATATGCTTTTTCTCAGCTCTGTAAATTATTAAAAACAAAACACTAATCAGTATTGAAAGCATTAAACATGTACGTGGTGTGCCTTATGTGCAATATTCATGAAAGACAATTATTTATAATGAAACACCTGCCAAAAATGAAAATGATTGCACTCATTGACACAATGTAGATTAGATATTTCTCTATTTGTTTTCACACATGCATGGATACTAATGCTTCTAGTGCAGGACGCATTCATATTTTATGGTATTTGAGCTTTGGTATGGTACGTACATGTACATGGTGCAAGTACAGAGAATAGAGATATGCATACATGTACGTGTAATTTGCCGGTACCCAACGCCAAACAAATAATTCAAATGAACGCAAATAAAAAACGGCAAATAATTTCATGTGCCAGGTTTGGATGATGAAAATGAGTTAATCATGAAATGAAAATGTATCAATATTGCTATTTTCTATTGTTTTTCCCAAGTCCTTCAGTCTCAAGTCAAGTCACAAACTCGTAAAATGAACTGAGACAAAAGTATTCCCTTGTTATTGTTTATCCCCTGTTACTTGTGACTGGACTTGTGACTGGACTTGTGGTTTACTTTCGACTCGACTTGTGATGGACTTGACTACAGCGCTGCCTGAAAGGCTTTCACTACAAGTCTGCCATTGGCAAACTACCAACTTTCAATTTCATCTTTGTGGTCTCTTGTTTAGGTGTTGACCGTAGCAATCATCAGCGTAGCCAGGGCAGTGGTCTCAATGATGGTCAATGCATCCACAATCAGCGGAGATATTGCAGATACGGTCAGTTGGTTGGTCACTCTCTCTCTTAGTCTGATCATTCATTTTCTTTATCTCATTTGACATTAAAATAAAAGTCTTACAGGCAGTATTGAGGCACCCTCAACCAAATTATTTCCAGATTTGAATTAATTGTAACCCTCCTCAATCCTCCAAAATCCTCCAAAATCTTCCAGGTGATTTTGGAGGATTTTAGAGGATTGATGCTGAATGGCAAAAAGTGTCAGTGGATTTTGGAGGAGGCATTATGTCAAGCTCGTAGGTTGTACCCTGTATTGTTTATGATCAGTCATGCATAAATGACTCCTTCCATTATACTCGCTATCATCCACACTGCTTCTGAATGTCATTGGCACTGCCTCAACCCATTGCAGTGATTGTTGGAGGATTTGGAAGGATTGAGGCAATGGTCACCCCTCCACTGAACAAATTCAGGAAATAATGGATGATTTTGGAGGATTGAGGCTGAATCCAATGTTTACAATGGTGGCAATTGGAGGATTTTGCAGGATTGAGGATGGTTCCTAGCCAAAAAGGGTCTAGGGGGCTAGGGTTAAGTACATGAAAAGTTTGACGTTGGAAACAGGAGTGTTACGTTCGTTCAACAAAACATTTTTTTTTTTCCCCACACAGGTGCTGTGGATTATCGTCAAGTTTTTCCTGATCTCCATCGAGTTGAGTGTCATCATATTTGGCCTGTGCTCCAGCATTGTAGAGAGTAAAGCAATCATCAAGCGAATCGTGCTAGGAACGTCGGCCATAGCACTCGCTTACTCAGTCACACAGGTAAGCGTTTTGTGCATTTTTAAGACAGAAACTGTGCTCATAGAATGGATCGCGCAGTAAATGGTGACGTCATTGCTGCAAATATGTACGCTATATTTGTTTAACTTGGTATAGAGTCCGTAGATGTCTCGATCTGGGAGCCAGTGAAGGACATACTATTTGCCTTTTCATACATTTATCTCGTCTACCCATGTGAAAAACAACACGGCTCCACCATGTGTTGAACTGCAACCCTGGCCGAAATGGTTGGGACACGTGACAACAACCATACCCTACCCCGGTCCCCCTCTCCCCCTCTCCCCCATCAATGTTGTTATCTCCAGCCTGGAGCACAGACCGTGCAATGAGAGACAACATTGACTGGGGGCTGGGGAGGGTGGCCCAGCGAGATTTGACCGGAACTGTGGGTCCGATTGCACACCGGTTGATAAGGCATACCGTTTACAAGGCATACACACTTTCACTGCTGTGTATGCGGGTTGGAAAATCTGCCCAGGTAGAGGCCCTCAAGCCTTGTGTTGAATTTCATTCATGTAAGGCTCTGGCCCCTGCATGTAGAAACTGTGTTGGGTTCTTGCTAGTGTGAAAGGGTTCTTCAAAAGTCCACAACACAGAGATTTTTGTGTTCGGAGTCACTGCTTCTGAAAGCCGTGCTCACGCTCATAAATGCACGGATTGTGCAAAAACTGATGTTCATCTTAAAGTGCACAAAGCAAACACAACTCGCTGTTCCTTCACGACAGTAGTATTTTGTATTCATACTGCTAATGGTGTATTATGCTGAGTCTATAGCTTATCACCTTAAATTTACAGCAAAATTCAAATTCACTCATTTACATATTCATTTATTCAGACTGCATGTATATAAAATTTATGAGAAGGTTGGAAGTGGGCGGGACTAAATACTGCCATTTTGTTTGTCAGAATGGGTTAGGAATGCCAAAACAAAGATTAACAACTTTCTTTTTTTCTGAACTAAAAAAAAATTATCAGTAGCTCTGGTAAAAGGTGACAAGATTTAAAGTTAAGCACTTAGTTGCTTACACTTTCTTCATCAGGTTCTCTATCATTATTCCTGAAAGTGATGTTCGTTTTGGTTTTTGTTTCATTTTAATTCAGGGTGTTCTTGAAATCAAGTTTCCAGACAAGCATTACATTGCACCCGACAAGTACGACATCTACGCCCATGGCGGTATGCTGTTCTGGTGCATAAGCTCGTCGCTATTTTCTTTGGTAAGTTTGCATATTTGAAGATAATCATTGGTTTTTCAAATGAATCAGTGAAAAAGTAAATGGTTGATGTAGCAGTCTAGTTACTTGTACATGTAGGAGTACACACAGGTAAACAGGGTGGTCCTAAATTGTTTGAAACTTTTTCAGACACAGATTTCTCAAAGTTGGGGAGACGTGTTGAAATTGTTTTAAGATGTACCTAAACTACAAGATCTTGGTTGTATATGGTGATTACGGGTTGAAAATAAAGCCTCAATTAAGAAATGGCGACCATTTGCAGACAAATGGTCAAAAACCAGTTTGTTCACACACGTGTATGAGATATGGTCCTTGTTTTGGCAGTCCTTTGTGCACCTAGTACTATTGTTGTGACCATGTCTTAGCCATTCTTTTTCTCAAAGTTCCAAGTTGTACAACTTATAATTTTTTTTCTGCAGGCGTATTTCATCATCTTGATTCTGCCTTACACAAAGATCAAGGACAAAATACAGCTTCCTGGTGAGTATGCTTCTACAGGTCAAAGGTTGAGATTTATGCACAGATACTGAAGACTTGCCTGAATGGCGGTTCATACTCGGTGAGAAATCAAACGCGAATTGGTGACGTCCGGGCAAGTATTCAAAGTTGAACACATTTCAACTCTGGCAAATTTTGCAGCGAATGCTTGGTGACGTCAATTTCATATCGCCTGAAGTACATGTATGAACCGGCCTTTACGCTACTACGAACATTTTGGAAAAATACGTGAAATTTCAGTGCTCCCAAAAAGAAGCGCTCCCATTTTGTTATGTATAACATAAAGTGCAGAGAAACTTCATTGAAAGAGATGGAAACATTTTAGTCAGTGATACTTAAGAGCCTTGGTTTGAATCACATAAAATTCAACTTTTCCCTTTCATTTTTTCAGTCAAAAAGTCCTTTTACCTATACGTGGCATTCCTGGCCCTTCTGAACCTGGTGCAGGCCATAGCTAGCGGCCTCGTTTTTGCAGACAAAACACCTGCAGTTTGGTGAGTAGGTTTAGATTTTCCACACCTGTTTCTTATTTTGATCTCTTGTAATTTTTATTTTGAGAAAGATTTGTGTAGGGTTGATCCACCCTACTGCTGACTTTAAGGATTTATGAATTTCAGGCATTTTAATCAGTATTAAAAGCAGTTTGGGCAGGTTTTTTAAAGTTATATTTATTGTACTTTTAGTTTGTTAATTATGTACTTTTAGTTTGTTATTGTTCATTCTCTGTGACCTGTGACTGAACTTCTAAATTTACTTCTAGATGTACCCGACTACAGCACTGCATACTGCTATCTGGACACAAGACTAATAACTCAATCATGTTGTAAATTGCATTTTAATCTTTCTTCTTTCTTTGTTTAACACACTCAGTGTTGTGGACGTCACATCTTTTGTATATTTCTCCGTGTTTGCGCCGTTAATCTACCTTACGTTCCTGCACAAATTCTTTCGGTGAGTTACTTTTTAATTGTCAGTCATCTGTAATTGGTATTTAGTGTATAGATGCCAGGTGGACAAGACGAACAAAACAAGAAGAAAACTGTTCAGAAACTCATTGGCCTTTAGTTTTGGGCTTGTTATTTTAGAACTGTCTTCTTTTCCCAGTTTGCTGTACAACATTAATGGTGACATGAAGATTGGGCAACTTCAGATTTTCACTCGCCGAATTAGAGTCAAGAAAGCAACAATAAAATACTTGGACACACTTGTATCCCTCCAATTGACACAGCAGAGCTAACATAGGGACTTTGGCCCAACATGGATTTAAATAATTTATTAATTTATAGATATAAATTTGCAAATAAATCACCTTCTGAATCACACAGAAAACAGACTTCACAGATTTTGTAAATAATAAAGTTCAATGTATGTTCTCTAAGATAAAAACAAAACAAAAAATGCTGAGTAGGGATTGAACCTTGGTCTCCTGGCTGCAAGTCACTGTTACTTCTCAGACCATTAAATTAAAAGATAAATACAACATTTGCTTTTGCTCTAATTTTCAGAAAAGAATGAATTTGGGGGTTTGTATTTTGTAGCAGATATTGTTACAGTGACCTGTTTAAAGCTTTGTGTTTATAGATGATGAAAAAAATTAACAAAGAATTCTGTTCTTGTAAGTCTGGTTCCCTGATCCCACTTCAGATGAAACGGAGCAATTTATATAGACATCGGGGAATTGTCAGTTCAGGGAACCAGTCTACCTGGCTTGTACTCCTTCACAGATGTGTTACCGATTGCAAACAAAATGTGGACTCTGACCAATTTATTAAACTGGGGGTAGTATTTGAAAGAAGCCAGGTTTTTTCCAAAGGTAGTTGGCCGACCATCATTGGAAATTGATACAGAAATTCACTTTTCTTGAGAATGACAGCACACCAGGTGCCATGATTTCACAGGATGTTTGAGACTATTATTCATGTACAGTAAAAGTATGATATTTTCTAGTAATTTGGTAGTTTTGTTTTTTGATGTTTGACCTTTAACACCCCTGTGCCCTATCAACCACACAATGAGTAATCATTCCTCACGCACTTTGCCCAGATAGGCAACAGAAACAGCCCCTGCTCTTGTCATATAACAACCCAGACGAGGCTGAAGATGAGGTCCATCGTCTGCCCAGCTCCTACAGTACCTCAGGCAAGGAAGAGCCTATCAGCATCAGTCCCACCGTCTACAACAGCACTGAGTTTGGCCACTCGCCTACCATCACGTTTGGCCCGCTTGTCATCGGTAACCCGATGTCAAACAACACGTCTATACAGGCAACTGTGGAACCAGTGAACAGTATCAATTATGGGGACTATTGATAAAGTGAATGCCGCGGAACGCACAGCCCATCAGTTATAAAAGTACGCTGAAACATAGAATTTTTTTTAATAGTTTTAGTCTTCAATAAGTAGCCTTCAAGCGGGTATAAGTTGTACTCTCAGTGCTATTTTCGAGTTACACCACAAAAAGTAGATTTTGTGTTTTTAAAGTGCTATTTTTGAGCAACCTAACAAATTAATTTCACATAAAAAAGAGTTATGAGTACAGAAAGCAAATGTACTCAAGAGTTGAGGAAATCTGTACATACTTTTCGTGGGTTGAGGTCGACCATTGAAGTTAAGTTCTCACTAAGACGTGCATTATATTTATAATGTAATGAGCACTTATTGCAATAGTGTATCTGCTGAAATTTCTGTAAGTCGATACAGGCCGGCTGTGCCTAATGCAACGACGGATAAGTGTTTTAATTACTCATCAGAAACTTGGCATTATGCGGTGGATTTCTTCGCTTGCGTCATTACATGAACGTCATTGTCGTTCATGTAATGTTCTTCATGATGTCATAGCCATCATTACCATCAACATCTTTATAACCACACGATCATCATCTATAACCACACGATCATCATCATGAACACTATTATTGTAATCGCCTAGAGTGTCGTCATCATCCCATACTCATTATTTAAAGAATCAACTTTGGTGCTCTGAGTCTTCCTTACCTTCCAAGACTCAGTCCAAGTCCTCAGTATCCAGTCCCAGTAAACAAGTTACTCAAAAATAAAAATTTAAACTGATCAGTGGATGAGTAAAATAAAGGAAGCAAATTTTACAATTATGTGGCAGAGAGCAGTTGAAATGGTAGTCTGAGTATCACCCGTTATCCACTGAGCCCAGTCTCCGGTCTAACGTCTGATAAAGCATGCAGATTTATGCGATCCCGTGCCTCAACCAATCGGAGTTGACTTTACCAAATCATGACGTCATTTCATTCCCAAATCAGGACTATCTGTCTGATTGGTCAATTCGAATGCAGTGCTTTGTAATACAACAATTACGGCCGGGCATATAGATCGATAAAACCTAGATAAGCTTGCGCTTATCACGTAACATCAGAGTGCGTGACCACAGCCTTTGTTGCTATGTCTAGTTGTTTGTTATCCATGTCTATGATGCGCCAACGGGTGAATGACCGAAGACCTGATATAGAAAACGGTCAAGAGGTGGTTGTCTTGCATAATTAATCGGCGAATCTGCTCACATATCTATGAAATAAACTACTGAAATGGTCCCTGAACTACAATTTTATATAAAATTTATTGTTTCAAATACACTATTATTTTGCAACAGAGAGTCTTCAATTTGCAATTTAAGAAAAGCATATTTGTCATTTTGTTTCAAGTCCGAGTCAACAGCATAGAGTCTAATTGAGTCAATGTTAAGTCTTTGTTGAGAGTGACTTAAGTCCGAGTATGAGTCACAAAAAATGGTACTTGAGTCGGACTTGAGTTTGAGTCTGAGTCCGATTCATACATCTTTGCCTTCCATCTTTGTGACTGAGGCTTTGAATCAGCTCTGGCTGTCCCAAAAATATAGTATATTATGTCTTATGTCTTCTGCATTATTCTTGTTGTTATCTGCATCCTGTTTTCTTTTATTTCATTTTCCTTGTCCTCGTTGACAACTTCATCGCCATAGTTACCACCACCGTCATCATCATCATCATCATCATAATCACTACCACCATTACTATCATGATTTTCATCATCTCCGTGGCAAATTGTTGGTGCTGTAATATAAACAAAAATGTATCATTTGTCACAAATTATTCACACTAGTCAAAATGCTTACACCGTGAATATGATTACAGGTAAAGAGGGCAAGTAGTAAATTTGAAAAATACCATAAATGTGCTGAACACAAACCTTGTACTTATATCTGTCCAGTATTTTTTTGTCTCAGCCCTTCAGCCAATGCTTCTGTTGTTTCTTGTTGTAGTCAAAGTGTTTTACACACAGCCACACTTCAGCATTGACATTCTGTAGAATTCAACAACATATTCTGTAGTGTTTGTCCTCAACCTATCTATGGACTCAAGGCACTTTGTGACCACTTTTGAAAGCCCCAGTAGGCGGGACACACCGTATTCACATACTGGTGCGTGCACAAAGTCGTACTTTACATAACACTCGAGGACAAGGCATTGTCTTTTCCTTCCTCCCTGTAATACACTCTCCCATAGACTAAGCACACCAATTCACGATCGAGGACCGTTTTCAACAAAAGATGAACGCTCGAGGACAACAAAGAATCTGTTGTTCTCCCATTGTCATTCTAAATCTGCACAAATTCTTGGTGTCTTTGCATAAGCCCCATTTGTGACCACTTTTGAAAGCCCCAGTGGGCGGGGCACACCGTGTTCACATACTGGTACGTCCACATAGTCATACTTTATATAACTCTCGAGGACAATGCATTGTCTTTTCCTTTGTTCCTTTAATACAACACTCTCCCATAGACTAAGCACACAAACGTACAATCGAGGACCTTTTTAACAAAAGATGAACTCTCGAGGACAACAAGGAATCTGTTGTTCTCCTTTTGTCTGTATGTCCTCGGGTGTATATAGTTCATGTACACTGATGGAGGACTAATTTTATTCTAAATCTGCATGAACCCGTGGCGTCTTTGCATAAGCCCCAGGTGTTGTCAACAATGCATTCGAATGTCTCTCCCAGTGGTCTCCCCAACGCTCCCTTTCTCACCGTTGAGGGGGTACTTGTGCAGGGAGTCCATACGTATAAGTTTAGTGGAAACCCATTTTTGAATCTAACTAATCACCTTTTTATTTTAATGTGTTTAACAAATCTTGCCAATTTTCTTTGAATCACACAAAGTTACATCTTGATGATATGAATGTGAGTAATTGTGTTAATAAGGGCTCATATATTATATTGGTTTGGAAGAGGCTGTATATATTTATACGATTATTATGAAGCGTTGTTAAAATATCATTGTAGATAATGTATAGCGAGAAAAAAGGTTGTGTTTGCTGTAGGAACTTTGAAATGTTCCTGTGCGGCCTGGAATTCTTAGGTTCTGCTCCTGTTTTGTTCTGTAAAATGTTCCATATGTGACTGGCACATGTTAATGGACGAAATTCCATTTTTTTCTGCAATTGTTTTATTTTTTTTCAACGGTACTTTGGACTTTTTTCAAGGACATTTAAATAGAAGAGATTTAAATTTTACTGGAATTTTTGATGAAAGTTTTCAAGTTGCATGTTGAAGACAGATTTGTTTTGTAAAGAATTAGCAATTGACAGAGGTATAAAGTGTAACTTTTCAAATCTATTTTATGCTTAGAGAAATTGAAAGAGTAGATTCTGAATTTTTTTTTTTTAACCCATTTTGTAAAGGCATTGATGTGCGTTTTTCTTGGGAGAATATCTTGGAATGTGACTTTTTTTGGTGCACTTCATTGGAAAGGCTTAAAAAAAAAAGTGAAAAGGGCATTCTGTGTTTCCTAACGGAGCCTGCTGTTTTTTAGTAAATCCTATTGATCACTTTGCTTCAGTTTCATCATAATTATTGCTACTCGTTAATGGTCACATCTTGGGAGATTGATACCTGTTTGGTTGCCATTTTAGGCTCAGTTTTGTTCAATTTTTGACCAAAGTTCTTTCTACTTAAAAAAAGGTACCTGTGCATCATCAATGCCTAACTGTTGCTAGTATTTGTATAATTTGAGGCGTTTAATGTTGATAACATTTCCGCTAGTTTTACTCTTTATACATGAATGTTAATAATGCAGATTGCCCACGACTTGGTGAACAAGATGTCGTATTGGAGCATTGGTACTTGTGTTGATTCCGTGAGCGTTTTGTGCGTGATTGCAATACATGCACAAGGCTGTGATTTCACGCAAACTAATGTGACAAAAGTTTTTACAAAAATCTCTTTTTATCTTCACTTATTTTCACCATGTACATGTACTCACAAACTGTGTTCCTTTTCACACGGAAATGCTACAGTTTGGGGAACATTCTGTTGAACACTGCACAAATTCTATACCATTGCACACATGAAACTTTGCACATGTTTGAGCCAGTTCAGGCGCCAACTATAGTTAACCATACTTTGACTAACTTTGCTCAAATTAAGGATGACTACTCTAGTTGTCTATTTGGAACTGGACCACGTGGCACATTTGCATCACTAGTTACCATCAGCCGTGCCCATCATAAAGCACAACGGGGAGCCAACAATGAAGTTTCGTGATGGAGTTTTGACCAGTGTGTGATTAGCTAAGGCATTTGCACGTTGCTATCTGTGCGCCGGCATAAGTTACATCACGAATCAACCACTAGTCGACTAATAGTCCTCGCCGGAACTTGCTCTATGATTTGAACTTGCCTTTCCACATGTGCATAAGACACACATTGTCATCTATGGTTCATTTAAAACATTCTTCAAACATGGTTTTCTTCAGTTCAGAATTGTTCATAGTAGAAATAGATGGATTCATTGTATTACATAATGATAATGCATTTCATTAATAGAGCTTGACTCAGTACAAATCACATGGCATGCATTTTTTGTTTTTTTCCCCAGGTTGAACTAAAGTATTTTGAAATAAAGCATAGTTTACTGTTTTTATTATTGTGTCTGCTATTGGACTTAATTTTGTTTGCTGTTTTTCCATATTTGTGGGGGCGGGTGGCCAAGATGTAGTTGGGGTTTAAGACCCACAATCAGTGGGTTAGGGGTCCAAATCCAGCTGCAGGACCTTAGTTCTGTCCTTGACTAAAAAAAAAAATCTGTGATTTTATATTTCATATGCATTATAGTTTTCATGTTTAAAACAACTATGAACATCTCTGGTAAAAAAATCCTACATGTAAATGGTATGCATTATTTATCTCCAAAATAACTTCTTTTTCAGGTAAACAGCCTGCCCATTTTTACAACCGTGAAAGTACCATGCACAAACCCCAACACAATTAAAATGTATGCAAAAAGAGAAATGAAGTACATATCTGTTGCTTTTATTGGCCACATTCAGATTTCATGACAGTGCTAAACTATTACACATGAATACCAATGATGAAAACAGTTGATCTTTGGTTATCTGTGTACATGTACAGGCATAATTTCATAATTCATAATTTCATAATTTCTTTCATTTGTTGCAACAAAGAATGGATGGAATACGCACAGGTTATTGGGGGATCCCCAACCCTTTAAGTAATCAGGATTTTTCCTTCCCCCATTTTAGACCTTTTCCTTCCCCCATTTTAGACAACCCCCCCCCTTAAAGATAATGTTCCCCCTCCCCCATATACCCAACTTTCAGAAACGTCATTGCCACAACCAAAAAAAAAAAAAAACTGTCACATTAAACTGGCCTTCAATTTAAAAAATCTCCAAAAACATCCCCCCACCAAAAAATAAACCTGAATAAAAAACTCCATACGACAATGGACACTGCAATTACAAAAATATTGTGTTAAAAGTGCCGGTAAAATGAATATTCCAAATTGAAATGTTTACTAATAAAACCTAACCAAAAGCTGTAAAACCTATAACGATGAATCCTTCTTTCCATAACCAAGAGTCACTTTCCAAGACATATTTGAGGATCAAATAGTAATTGCAGGAGGCATACATAGGATAACTTGCATCTTGAAGCCAATTTGGGAAATAAACATGATCTATGTGACTTTTCCCTGGCCAACACATTGACCTTTAAAACTGTATCGCAACACTTCACAACAAAATCTAAAACACATAATTCCTCTAAAAGTTTCAAGTAGTTAGTACTTATGGAAATTTATTCAAATCCTAAAGGCAATGAACACCATTTGCAAAACATGTATTTTTGCCGATTCAAGGAATAACAAAACAATAAATTTGAAGCAGGTTATTACGAAACTAACCTGTCGACATTCAGTAGATATACTTTCTGAGACAACTGTAAAAATGAATCTTCATTTTTCTCGACTAACATCAAGGGCTCTATTGAAATCCCTCCCTTTTAAACTGTTCATTAAAATCCTTTTTTTCACTTGCAACCTCTTGTGGTAATGATGTTAATTCCCCTTTCCTTAAAAATGACAGCATACTAGGCGCAATGATGTCACAGGATGCATGATCCTATTACACTGTATTTACTTAAATATCAAGAGGGATATTTCGTACTAGTTTGGCAGTTTCGTATTTGAATGTTTGCAAATGGTGTCATTACCTTTAACAAAATTTTGCAAATATTATTCTGTAACTTGTTAAACTCATGTTAAAATAAGCACGTCTGTTTTTCTATATCGCAACTGCAATGGCAAAATATACATGCCTGACTGTTATTTATTACACACATACATGACAGCCACACGCCAAACTTTAGCGTGAAATAGTTTCTAGATCTGAATAATATTCCAATTAAAATAGCTAGGCTTAAATTACTAAAAGCGATGGTTTGTTAAATTATGGTCATATTATCACAAATATTTTATATAATTATTAGGTTTAACACGATATTGATAATTTGCTGACAACTTTGCGAATATTAACAGACAGCGAAAAATTTACACGCCTTTCTTTTCTTAAATCCAGGAATATGTACAGTGGATAAAAACACAAGATATACACACAAAATCATCCGAATACTTTTTGGCTACGATAAACAATAAACTAAATTTGTGCTTAAATTTTGTAATCTAAAGCTCTTGGTTAAGATGTGACATGATTAGCTCCTAATGTTGACAATCTTTCTGGTTTCACTTTACATAAGGGCTGTGCCGTATACATGTATACTGAATATTCAATCCACAAAATATCCAAATAGTACTTTTTCAATTCGATTTATAGTTTGTCACATAAGGCAAGCAACTTTTCCTCAGATCAGCTGATTTCCTCGTTTTTCACTTCACAACTATGCCATTAAAAATTCAAAAAACTGTAAAGTCTTGTTTAGCTTGGATTTCATCTTTTTTTTGGTTACTTTCCCAAATGCTACATTTTTGTTGACAATCACTTTACACGGATGACTTGAGAGATTCATTGAGAACCGTTTGCTCTACTAGCGTCTTTATAATCTTCCAACTATCAGCTTCCTCAAAAAATATATCAATGCATACACAATGTTCTTGATATTATTCATAAGCTTACTGTCGATCTTTGCCAGACGCACGCAAATCTGGAAGGGCAGACCATTTCATTTTCAACCAGCACATTCAATTCAGGCTGGGGTATGGCTCAAGTAAAATTTGATTTGTGCATTGTGAATATTTGAATATCTGATCGAATCCAAGTTTGAATAGCTGAATACTAAATTATTTTGTTAAATGCACAGCACTACTACATTGTATACATGTATTTACAAGGATTGCCAAAGCCAGAAATAGACCTTATGCATTGCAGCCATCTCAGAGGGCGTTTTTTGTTATTTAAATGTTACAACAATGAATGCACAAAAGGTTTACTAATGCCTATCCTAGCGATACAAAACCATTGCCCTCTGACTCTATTACACAAGACAGTGCTATCAATAACATGTTGGAATGGCATTATAGATATGAATACATGTTGCTGTATATTTAGAACCTACAATGTACTGTATCCAGAAATTTTAACTTATGAGTACATAACAACTTTCCTTAATAGTACTGTACAGATAAAACACTGGGTTATGACGTTCAAGCTGATATTTTAGTAGACGCCATTTTCTGCCGATACATCTACTCACTGTACAGTGTACAAAAGTTCAGGAATGTTAAACACGAGACAGTCAATCAAACTTAAAGAAAACTACAAGGAACTAGCATGAGCAACTAGCATCAGGCTTTATTTTACATCGATGTCTGCATTACCCCTGAACTTCCTGATTTTGTCCTGGGCAGGCTCGCGTCTGGTCTTGGTCCAGAGCGGTGCTGCAGCAGGTGCTGCTGCTGCTGAGTGACTGAAGATTGCTGCTGCTGCTGCTGCAGTAGTTGATTCACATAGTCCTGGTGCTCGCGGCGTAGCTGCTGCAGCCGATATTGCTGCTTTTGATCTGGATTCAGGTTTTGAGGCAGTTCAGGTTCTGTTGATTTATACTGTTGTTGTTGTTTCTGCTGTTGTTGCTGAACTTGAAGTCGCTTCTGCTGCTGCTCCTGTTGCTGTAGTTGAAGTTGCTTCTGCTGCTGCTGTTGTTGTTGTTGTTGTCGCTGCTGCTGCTGTTGTTGTTGTTGCTGTTGTTGCTGCTGTAATTGAACCTGCCTCTGCTGCTGCTGCTGCTGCTGCTGTAACTCAAGTTGCCGCTGCTGCTGCTGTTGTTGCTGCTGCCGCTGCTGTTGTTGTTGCTGCTGCTGCTGCTGCTGCTGTTGCTGTTGCTGCTGTTGCTGCTGCTGTCGTTGCAGCTGAAGCTGCTGTTTTTGTAGTTGGGTACGGTATTGCTGTTCTTGCAACTTCTGTTCATAGTCCTGAAACCCTGAATACTTTTGTTGTTGGTACTGTTGACTAGTTTGCTGTGAAGACTGACCAACGCCTGAATATTGACCATTATGACCATCATATTGATCAAATGAGCCTGTTGGTTTGTACCTCCCTGCTTGACTGTTGACTGGCTGAGCTTGTCCTGGCATCTCAACTGATGAAGACTGACTGGTCAGGCTGATGTTGTCTTCACTGAATCTGACATTATTGGCACTCCGTGATTTCTTCACACTGGGGACCTGGACACTTGAGAAGGAGTCTCCTTTCTTTAAGATGGATGGGGAGAGCGGTGGAGGACCAACAGAGCGTCTTGGTACATCAGATTGTGCACTAGCAGAATCTGTGACGATGACTGCAGGGACAGCTGTACTGGCAGGCTTTGATGCTGGTTCGTGTCTTTCCTTCGGCTTGGAAGTAGGCTCTGGTGCAGCTGAGGCAAGAGGGTCATCCAACTCAGGAGCTTCCACAACCAGCTTGATGCCATCCCTGGCAGCTTGGGCAAAGAGAGAGTAGACCTCGGTCTGTAACATGGGATCATCTATGGATGCGACTGAAGCCCGGGAGAAAGCAGCCTTCTCTTCAGAGGGAGTCTGGCTCGAGGACAGGGGATACTCTGGTTTGGACATCTCTGAGTATTGAGATGGGTCCTTGGTTGGAATGTCAAAGGCTTTGAAGTCATCTGGGTAATCACTCTCCATCTTGGCATCATCTGATGGCTTCTTCAGTAAACCACGTCTTGGAGCTGGCACGGGTGGTTTCCTGATCCGGTCTGGCTCAGTGTAAGCTACATCTTGGACAGGCATCACGATTGCTGTTGATATTGTCGTTGGAGGATTTGAGTAGTTTCCGGGATTGTTGAGGCCTGAGATACCTCCAGATCTTGTCAGGGTTGAGCTCGGAGATTGGGTGGGAACAACTTTCTGGACCGCCGGGGCAGGATTGTGGCTGGCTGTGAGATTGGAAGTGCTTCTTGAAGCAGGCTGGTTGAAGATCCCAGGTCCTGGTCTCTGTACGCTTCTGTTGCCAAAGAAGTCTGTGCCTCGCTCCCCGGGCTGTGAACTTCTTGGAAGAGTGCTGGCCTTTCCTGACGAAAGATTCTCCCTTGAACCAGAAGAGCCCCACTTAGGGAGAACCGACTTGAAGATGTTTGGATTGAATTTCGGTTTCCTTGCTTCGGCTGTTGTGTCGTACTCTTGTGCTGGTTCAGGGTCATACCTTGGGGCTTGTTTGGAGACGACAGCGAAGGTATTTGATGCGGGAGAGCTGACAGTAGGAACAGTATTTGATGGCACGGAGAGAGAAGCATAAATTGTTTGCTCAGGTGTTGTCTTGGTACTTCCTGTTGGGTGAGTGGCAGGTGCATTGCCAGCAGAGGCACCATAATGCTTGTTACCAGCATGCTTCCTATCCAACGAAGAAGTCGATTTCTGAGAAGGGATGGCTCCACCGGAGTATTTGGACTGCCCGTCTTTGAGTATGGACTGAGACGCCGACGAGCCCAACATCGGTTTGTAGTCAACTGGACCTTTTGAGAATCTGACAGAGGATGACGATGCTGTACTTTCTCTGGCCTGGGTTCCTCGCAGAAACGATGCCGGGCCACCTTTGGAGTTTCTCATGGCTGCTCCTAGACTTGCTACTTTGCTCTTTGTTGGTGATGGCATGGCAACCGCTGACGTGGTTGGAGGCGCGCTTCCAAAATCGGGCAAGACGGTACCGGGACGCGCACTGAAGAGCTGCGAGATCTTGTTATGGGGCTCTCTACTGGTTCCTGACGTCACGTAAGGAGACATCCTTCCAGCAGCGGGCGTCTCGAGGGATGAGGTGCCGGAGAAGGTGAAGGCGGTGGCAAAGTTGTCTGATGCTGGGGTGGAAACCATGGACTTATAGGCAGCTTGGCTGGATGAATCAGTTTCGTCACTTGCCTGGATGAAAACGAGACCAAAAAATATTAAAAGAAGCGATAAATGCACAAGAGGTCTACTTAAGCATATTCCTGTGTAACAAAAGCAAGCCCCTCAAAAGAAGGCTGCAATGCAAAAGCAAAAGGATCTCAACAAAGATATCCTTCCGTCCTTCTTACCAAATACTTTCCTGAGGATATTTCACAGAATTAAATACGGGCTGTCCACTGATTATTTGAATCTGCATTTGACTGAATATTTGAATATTCCAAACTCGCTGATCAATTTTCACATTTGCCAGCTGCAACAGCATGCCCCGCCGGTCAAACGCTGAACGCAAAGAGCGCTAGTTAAAATTTGTGTGCTACGTCAATATTATGGGCCGCTGGGATGTTTTGCAGTAGGCCTAAGTATGTTATAACTATCAAGGGCTACAACCTGCTAAAAGGAGCAGATCAATGAACCGTCATTACGATGACTTTTTTGTCGATGGTTACTCTTTCATTACCAAAAGAGTTATCATCGACAAAAAAGTAGCATCTGACAATAAATAGCCACAAATGTAGGTATAACATAACATCACAGTTGTGTGTGTACGTGTGTAGTTTACATTTGTTTCATAACTTTGAACATTCGAACCGGCAAAAAGCTATTCGAATATTCCGTTGATGATCAAATATTCAAATATTCAGTGCATTCGGGACAGCCTAAGTTAAATTAAGATTTCTTCTTTTCTTTTTTTAAATTGACACATCAAATAGCTGTTGGAGAGACTTTGAAATCGTATTGATGTACCTGCAGCAGGCTCCTGAATTCACGCATCAACTGCTGTTTGCTGCTACTGCCGCCGCTGCTTTCACTGATGTTCATGACTTCGTTCAGTCTCTGACGTAGCTCAGTCAGTTGATTCCTCAATGAACCGTTGACGTCAAGGCAGCGTCGCAACCCCTCTCTGTTATCAGAAAAGAAACTTCCAAATTAAAGAATTTCAGAATTTTTTTTCGTTGAAGCATTAGCCTTTTAGCCACTGTAGCGCCCACAACCGCCCTGCCTTTTACCCACTGTAGCCCCCAAAGTCGCCCCAAGCACTCCATGGTATTACTGAGTCTTCAGTGCATAAACACAATGTAATACAAAGTAGCACAGGTAATAATGGGTTCATGAAAAAAGTGTTGAACTCCCTGCTATTTGAACAGTCACAGACAGTAAAAAATTCAATCCTCTTCCCTGCCATGCCTTTTACACAACCTAGTCACCAATAGTCAGATCATATTTCAAGCAAGCACTGTGACTAGTAAAATTCAGTCAACAGACAAAAGCAGGCAAGCGGTAGGCACAGCTGTCTTATCAATCACATAGAGTCAAAGCATACATGTGCATGTAGAGTCAAGTTACATTAACAGTCACAGCCAGTCAATCCTGCTTTATGTAGGCTGGGAGCTCTAACCACGCTAACTATTGAAAACAGTCACTTGTTTGATTTTGACTGAAGGGACAACTTGGCACAGAATACATGTTTGGATAGGAGGGTGAATCATTTTTTATAACCATGCACATTGATACAAAAAATTCACAATGTACATATGTTAAGTAAACAGTGGGGAATTCGAAGAGGGTTCCGAGCAAAAAATGCACAAAGAGTTAGGATTCTTTGCAGAACCACACTTCTTCCAAGAACAAAGTTCTTTCCACATGGTGTTACCCGAAAAGTTCCTCTATTTTTATCTCATCCGCCATGCAAAGCTTCAAGTCATATATAAAGAGTTAGCGCTTAATGTCTTCAAGTGATAGGAATGATGGTGTTCTCTTACAGACCTGGTCTGGTAGAGTCTGAATCGTTCAAACTCCAAGACTGGATAATCCTGCATGACTCCTGGAATGTCTTGAGTATTGAAGAACTCAATGCGAAGTAGGAGCGATGGTTCCTCATTAGTACAGTAATCACCATCCAACGCCTTAGCCTGGAAATACAAACAATAGTACAATTCTCATAATTAAAGGAGGCCTTTTGTTTTTGCTCAAGATTTCAGATTTTCCAAGTTGGAGGAATGGCTTCTTCCATTTTTTTTTTTATTCTTTTGCTGATGCTTTTGTATCCAAAGGACCTCTCAGCCTTTCTACCAGATTTCGAACTTTAACAATAATTTAACATTTTCCTGGCAACAAGTAAAAAGACAGAATTTATTGCAAATGATGTATGAATAAAACAAGAATGGGACAAAATGGAGGCGGGCGGGGAAGAGATACTGGTGGTTTCATCTTTCATTAGTTGAATTGTTTGTGTCCAAGTAAAATTTGCAAATTCCTTTTACCTTATAAGACATTTTAAATTCTTTATATTTCTTTGCCTGGACTTCTAAAATTTACTATTCCTTTTGTTTTTAATGCTTTACACATGAGGCGCGCATGAGTTTCCAGGGTTCCAAGCACTTTATGAAAAATAATTCCCTAAGTTTTCCCAGATATTTCTCTCAGAAATTTCAAAAATTCCATGAGAAATATTTTCACTTTAAGGAGGTTGCTGGGAAGTCAAGAGGTGGTGTAGCACAGCCAATTGTTATTGTCTGGAGAGGTGTGTAATATTCACACTGCATAAACACTAAAAGCCACCATAGCCAGTCAGTCAATGGACACAAATTGGACACATGGCACAAGACACACATACATGTACATCAAACTGGCAAAACCCTTCTCTTCTGGGTCACTGCCAAATTTCCCTGATTTTTGTGTGTTTTCCAAATTCCCTGAGTTTTCCATGATTTGAAAACTGGAAAGTCATTTTCAAGGTTTTGCCTGATTTCCAGATTGGCTGGACCCTGAGTCATTTGTGCATACAGTATGAGCAAACATACTTCCGTCCCAGCATTTTCATTTTGTCTAAACTAGGGGTGTGCATTTATGAGTAGTATGGGAATCGTGTGAGAGTGTGTGAATAGGGGGAGTGTGTGGCCTAGTGGTTTGGGTTCGTGACTCATGATCAGAGGGTCCGGGGTTCGAATCCAGCCGCTGGTCATATATTGTGTCCTTGGGCAAGGCACTTCACCCCACTTGCCCCTCTCCACCCAGGAGTATAAATGGGTACCGGCATTAGCTGGGGAGTAACCTGCAATGGACTAGCATCCCATCCAGGGGGAGTAGAAATATTCTCAGTCATTTCATGCTACTGAAACCGGCCTGATGAGCCACATTGGCTCGCGACAGACTTTACTTACGGGAATCGGGTACCTAACTGAAAAAAACACAGGCACCTGTTAAGAACAATCAACCCTAACATTCAAATTTCGGAAATTGCCAATCAGGTTGTTCATAAAGGTCCGTACGACAATACTACTACGTCGGTGCGTCATACAGTGTGTACAGTGAACTTTATAGCTTTATGGTGTAAACTTTCCCGAGCATCATTAACGTGAAAATATATGTTTTGTTTTCCCATGTGGCCTGGTTTTCATTTCATTTTGAAAATTCCCCACAGATGACATTCAGAACCTTTTTTTTTATTGTTTAGGTTCAAAGGTACATGTACCAAGTAAATAAAAGATGGCTGATTCCATAATGTGGAAGCAGTTCCTGACATCAACAGTCAGGTACATGTACTCCATTCCGATGTACAGCCCTAGTCCAAACTAATTAACTCCAGTTTCACTTGTTTGCAAGACCTTCAATTTAAATCAATATTAGGTTTTGCCCATCACTGACATACAAACACTGTATACTCATTGTGTTACTCACCCCGACGCAAATTCCATCTCATGCATTCAATTTAAACCACAATGATTTAGCGGAGTAAAATTATTTGCTTACATGTAACTCCCCATTACCTTTGCACTAGTATCATTATTATTATGTAGGTTGATCCACGGACCGTTTACAGCAAAAGAAATTTTTTATTTAGTTTGAAAAATGTCAGTCAAAGCGTGACCAAAGTCATGAAAAGGTTCACCGAATCAGGACTAAAACCCAAACATGTTTCATGGGTGAGGATTGTTAAAATATGAGTCAGCCTTGGAATGATAGAGATTGGTCATTGTGCTGATGTTGATTCATTTATACAAAGCAAATCTATTAAATTTTGCTGGTATTTCTGTTCTTTATGTACACAAACTGCCCGTACATTTAAGTAACGGTCTAAGAACCAAATATTGCATAAGCTATCAAATATGTTGTCTTTATTGTAACAGTGAGATGCCATCAAGAAATAAGAAAAACTAAGCATTTCAGTGGGGGGGGGGGGAAATTGTCTTTTTATAAACTGGAATTTTCGTCATGAAGTCCTATCTTTTTAATATTCCATCTTATAAAAGTTTGGTTGTTACATCAAACTCAAACGGCCAGCCGACACCGGCAAGCTCGATGGTTGAGTGGTAAGATGTCTGCATTTTAGTAAGCAGGAGGTCATGGGTTCAAGTCCCACCCAAGTAGGGCCAACAAAATAAATAGTTCTGCTTCCGATTACATGGCATTCGAAAATAGGGTAGGTAGGGACATTTTTCGTTTTTGCCAATTTTGTTTGTGTACGATCATATGAAGGCGTCTGCGTGTAGTCAGGGGGAAAAGGTAGAAATTGATTGTTTTGGGTGTTTTTTTTCTCATTTTTCCCATAAAAAAAATTAGGGTAGGGGCTCTCAGAATAGGGTAGGTAGGGAAACCGGAAGCAGAACTATTATTATTTTTTTTTGGCCTAATCTTGTGAATTTTATCTTGGACTGAGTATACAGTGTTTATTAAACATACATTGGCGGAGGGCAAAACCCAATATCCCAAAATAGGCCCCTATAGTTTTTGTAAAAAAAAATTGTAAAATATTTAACAACATAATGTCTTCTAACGTTTCTGTCTTCAAACCTAAACTGAATGTTAGTTTTGTTCAATAGTATTTTAATGTTACTGCTCTTTCTTGGGATCAAAACAATTACTAGTTCAAAGTCAACAACTCTATCACAACAGTCTTAATTAAGGCCGAGTAAAAAAAAAATAGTTTCTCATCGGGGGTTTTTTTAAAAAGGGAGGAAGCGGGGGTTTTTATTTTTTATTTTTTATTTTTTTTCAAAATGACCGCCTTTTCAAAATTTCCTGCAACCGTTGGTGTTTCACTGTTCAAAGACACTTTTAAAGATGAAAGACAAGATGGACAAGAGAACTGAACATATTTGCAGTGTCATTTAGAGTTGTATTGGTATTGGTATTTATTTTCCGATGAATACATGTATGTAGACTTTTTCGGTGTGTTTCTACTACATTTTTCACAAATAAAAAATAATAAAAAAATCCAGGCGGCCTCCAAAAAGGAAGCGGGCAGGGATGAGAAACTTGGTGTTTTTTTTTACTTCGCCTAATGGGTTCAATGTTTTTAAAGGATGATTCACATCACTCAAAAAAACAACAGCCTGAATCAACATAATATTAATTCCATTTCATTTCTAGAATATGGACGCCTAGAACATTGATGTCATCACCTGAAAAATGTCCTGTATCAAATGTCATATTGATTTACGCAAGTGCTTAATGCGTTTGGGAATCAAAAAGCTTAAAGGAGCATTCCTAGTCATCAAAAAAGCTTAAAGGAACAGTACTAGTCATTACATGTAATTCAACATCTATAGCTTATTGGTTATCATCTAGGCCTAAATGATTAATGACTAGATATCTTAAGCATGGCGGGTGTAAACATGATTGACTTTTTACACTGGAATTCACTTGACTTCTCTGAAAAAGTATCCACGTTTTTTCTGTTTCAAAACAACATATTAGTGAATGGTCAAAGATGCAAGCTGATTTCAGTTTAGGATTTCAACTCTAGCTTTAAATTTTCAAGTTTCCAATCAAAACAGCATGGGGGAATTGGACATGTTCCAAGTCAAGTTCACTGAACGTTTATATAAATTTACGACCAAAAACATGAGCAGTTGAAATGAAAACCTCCCAGAGAGACTATTATGGGATGCCGAGCATTGCCGGTCAAATGTGTTGAACCCAACGCGACACCCACATGTGAACGTTCGCTGGCAAGTTCCCAAAAACAGCAAGGAATTTGATTTGCGGCAAATTAGAGTACTCCCCTGTGATTCTGAAAACTTTGCCAAGAGCTGCGGTCATTGTACCCAGCTGGGTCACGATTTAACGAATTATGAAAGTCCTAGTTTGGTGGTTTGATACTGGTGGGAGCTCAGCATGCGGGCATAACGCAGTACAAAATTGTGATGTTTGTAAACATTGGAGTTGGACTTATGTATAGTGGAAATTCTTGCTTTAATCTTCTTCTTTTTTTCAAATTCCTCTGATTTTATATGCACTTATTTAGAAAACAGAAACTTTGTCCTTTTCAAAATTTAAACTTTTTGTGAGGCTTGGATATTGTGATTTGGCCAGTGTATTATTTTCATCCGAGTAGAACTTTTATTTGGTTTGAATTGTAAAATAAATTTATATCAACAAACTTTATCAAGTCAGTACTATTTTTTTCATCAGTTTCCATGACAATACCCTTACCCTCCTTTTTAGGCACATCATCTTCACTTACCCGTTGAATGGGTACTTTGGTTGACATACTGAACAGCTTCTCAGGAAACGCTGGAGAGAAGTAAGCAGACATGGTTACCTCCGAGACGGACACGTTGTAGTTCCTGTCTGTGCGGGAAAGTAGGTAGGCCTTCCACTGGAGAAATTTGGTGCAGAGAGGCTCTCTTCCGGTTCCTTGACGATTGACAGGGAAAATCTTGTTCCTGTCTTCAACGTCGAGCCGAAACGACAAGTACTTGGAGGAATTGTTGGCGGCAAGTTTCCAGATATTCATGCGGTGGTCTGGGAAGATGACATCATCGAAGACAAAGTTGTCGGTGTGGTAGTATCCTCTGGTTGCCAGGGGAACCTCCACGAACGCAAAGGGGATGATGGAGAGAATTTCCACCCCAAGTGGTACCAGACCCTTCCGGAACATTTCTGTGTTGGCAAGGGGCTCAAACGCTTTGAATCGACCGTATCCGCGATCGGTCTTGAAGGAGAACTCAAAAGTCTTGGAGTCTCCGGTCGGTGAGACCAGGTCGCCCAGAAAGAAGCGATAGCGAATCCTGCAGCACAGACACTCGGGGATCTGTGGGTTGTTGAACCGGTGAAGGTACATGGAGACGTGACGCTCTGCTTCCTTGCGATCACCAAGAGGATAGAACGACATGTAAAAGTCGAACCCACACAGGGAGAAGTTTGGCGTGAAGTAAGAGGAATAGGGTTGATTCATGTGCTCCGGGAGCTGGGAGAAGTCTACCAATTGTTGGTAGATCGTTCGACAGTATCGCACCGCCAACTCGACGATAACCGTCCTTCCTGGATCCACCAGGAAACCATTCCCCGGAGCAAGTACTTCATGAAGCGGCGCTAGCTCTCGCTTGCCCCAACCTAAGGTATCCGGTGCACTGAATTCCACCTGGGAACCTTCGGAGACCACACTTTCAGAAGCATCTCTGACGTTACGGACAATAAGGCGGTAGTCTGCTCGGCAGCTAACACCTTCCCCCGCCGCCTTGTTGTCCCAGTACAGGTACATGCCCAAGTAAATGTCATCCGTTTCCTTCGACTGGTAGCCACCGCATGTCAAGTACCATTCGTGGCCCTCGTAGTAAATGGGTGACGATTTGGTCGGTTTGTCAAAGAAACTTTCCAAATCATTCATGGAAAGGAGAAAGGTAAAGAGTTGCGTTCCTCCGGCATCGTTGAGCGCCAAGGCTCTGGTTAATTTCAAAGCGTTACTCATATTGAGACACTGGTGTCGCCTTCAATTTCTCCAAATGCCAAATTTTCTGGCAATTTTCTCTTTGTTGTCCAATAAATGAGCAGTTTGCTAGGCAGTTCTCACATTACATAGTGAGGGAGTTACTCTTTTCAGCATACATTGATTCCAGTCCATCAATGACTACCAAATGCATTCTCCCAGTCTCCAATCTGAAAAGTGAAAGCAGAAAATAAAGCAATTCGATTATACTGGAAAACAACAGGTGATCTGGCCAAGCCGTCAAGAAACTTGTTTACAACATCTTGAAGTGAAATTGACCCGATGATTAACCCCAGAAAAGCTCGGGCATTGCTCTCGGTACCGGGCATAAATTCTGAATTCAACCCCCTTTGCCCCAAGAGCATTCAACTGTCAGCACACACACACAGACACGTGCCATGCATTGACATTCATGACATGACAGGTGTAGTACATTATTTTCCATCATGATAGGGATGGATCCATGGTTTGCATGTCATGAGCAACTGAACTACAGAGTAAATTTGCCATCATAAATGCCTTTATTTGATGATCCAACCAACTTACCCCCAAATCTGCTTACATTGTGCCACAAAATACGATCCTTATTTGCACTCAGCTACTGGGTGTGTCGGTAAATTTCTGCGAGTCGCGGAAATGAAAAACGGTTTTCGTCCTCCCACACCAAAACCTTCAATAAATCCTTCAAAATGGTCGACCCACCATGAGCGAATTTGATCAAACCAAAGGATTAAGAAAAAACGATCTGGTTTCGGAGTGGTGACGCGGTCATGAGCTGGCTTGGGTTCAAAGTTATCCAATCGCAGTAGATGTGGGTTAATCAGACTCCGGGCAAAGTCCAACAAAATATGAATATTTTGATGATGACGACGTGTGAAGCAGAGTGGTGTTGTACTAGTGTACATCGGCTAGGCGATGTCACAGACGGGTACTGCACACGCTATATTATGCAGCGTACATGTACATGTACACATTGTGCACACACTACGTTGGGTTCCCACACACCAGACCCAACGGTCCATCCATTCAATGATGATTTCAATGATTTCAATGGATGACATCTCCATAACAAAGGATGAATGGAGGAAAAGAAGCTGACCCAAAAGAGATCATTTCGCTAAAAATAACTTACGACTCAAGTAAGCTCTGCCATTTGAGGTCCAATTGAGTAGGAAATGTTGATTTTTTTTGTCGTTTTTGCCGTTTTGCGCTATCAAAAATGTTAGTTATCTTTCCGCTGCTCATCTCATCATGGAGGAAAACACATCTTTATTCCTCAATGCATCTATGAGCCGCCGCCACCAGCTGCAACCCGCACATTTCAAACTTCGAATTCATTAAAAGATTCGACATGAATGTAGTTAATGTTTACTTTGTGTTTTGAGCGAGTCTTTATAACGGCCAGGGGGTAAATTGCGGAGGTTACCGCAATAAATGTACCGTTAGATTTAAATTGATTAATAGCCAAGTAAAATTATGTTCGTTCCCAGCTCAAGGTGCTTTATAAACTCGTTAGCATGTTGGATTTTTTCTCCCAACGAAGTTTTTTTGCAATTCTTTAAAAAATATATTTTGTTCTAGACTTCTTCACAGCCCTCTAAAAGAAAAATGTTGGGTTTTGGGGGGTTGCTTTTGTCCCACAACGCACCGCCTGAATTATCGCCGGGTCCCAACATTGGCGGATCGATGGGGCCAACGGGGGCCACGCCCCCCGCCTCCCACTGCCCCCTGTTTATTTTCCTCGATGTCTCATTAAAAGTGAAAAAAAAATTTGTTTTGCCAGAAAAAAATGCCATTTCAAAACAAAAGTTTATTATGGAACTCAAAAATAACACTTGATCTGTAGTTCGATGAAGGAGCCCCAGACTCGAAATTTTAGGCTTGCCTCCGGCTTATTCTTGGAAGTGCTCCAAAACTCAGAAAGTTTTTCAAAATGTTTTTTTTTTCCTGAAGGGGTAAAATTCCCTGAGGCATCCATAGAACAATGTTCGCTGAATTTACCAGTGCACGGTGTGTCGTAAATCTTATAGCAATGCCTTGGTTGTACTAGGCCTGAATATGACAGAAAGCATTTGTAGTTTGTATAAATCACGCCAACACATCAATGTTACAGTGCACGCTATCAACAACTTACCGATGGGTGGAATATTGGACCTCCCCAAATGAACACATCGCATTTGGTACGAACAATGTGCGACTCTCGTCCGATCTCATGTGATGAAGCCGCAACGCCCCCCCCCCCCCCCCCCCCTTATAGCGTAGGCCGTCTCCCTTGCGATCTTTCTTAGTGAACATCCCTGCATGCTAATGTTTTGTGACAAGCATTTGACAAGTAAAAATATCAGACAAAATAAGATGCACAGAACCTATTGTATCTTCTTTGAAAGCACTTTTACGTGTGATCCCTTAATAATCTTAATTCAACTTATTGTGTGATGGTGAAAAAAAGGGAAGGTTCGAACTTGGAAAACAACAAGTCCACAAGGCTGTCTGTTTGTTCAGCGCGTGGCCCGGCTCCATACCCACAAATTCTGCAAAATATATTCCTCGATACTGACAAATTTGCAAGGTGCCAAGTTCCCATGTCCGAATTGAATAACTCAGCCTGTGACTCGGAGCTAGCTAAAGACTAACCATTATCCTCACGGTTTACTTGACCTCTGAGTGAAATTCAAGGTCAACTTTTGTAGAAATTCGTAACAGCTATAGGCTCTATTGTACTTCAAGAGCAGTGATGACCAAATTCTAAGGGACCTGACCTGACATAAAGTTAGGACTGCCTCGCGGAGTTGCGGTGTATAATACATATATAATTCACCCGGATCCATAATCTGACGATGTACCTCAAGCTAATGCTTTTCTTTTTTTCCTTATTAAGTAATTAAAGTGTTATGTATTTTTTTTCCTGTTATGAAAACACTAAATAACCCGTCACTTCGAAAGTGATACTTGATGTTTTCCTCTTTTCAGCTAGCCTTGGTCAATGCTCTCGTCGTTATTCGTCCCGTACGCGGTCAATCGTCGGCATATATCCTCACGCGCTATGCACATGCATGTTAAAATACAGCGCGAACAGCGACCTCATGCGGCCACTATTTTTTTATGCAAATCAGTTGGGGACGATCGAGAGCCTTGGTTCAATCGTCGGCAAAAGCTTATGTTTTTCTTTATTTTGCGCTGGATTTCTAGCGCACGACCTCGTATGCGAATACAGATAAGTGTAGGCGGGGCTTATATGTGGAGTGTCCAATCACACCTTGGTAAATCCGGACGTCATCAAATTATTTGCAGCTACTCGCCTTTTGCGGACGTGACAGGAACCACAGTTTTTGTGCATTGGTGCCGTGTGCAGAGACACACAACGTGTACGTGTATGGATTATGTACGGTGCCACCTTTCCGATATGCAAGTTTCCACGCAACGATCGACCAATAAGAAAACGACATTTAAGGTCAGCTAAGGCTATTAACATAATGAGCACCACCCCCAAAACCTCACATGGACGATTGAACCAAGGCTCTCGATCCTCCCCAACTGATTTGCATATAAAAATAGTGGCCGCGTGAGGTCGCTGTTCGCGCTGTATTTTTACATGCATGTGCATAGCGCGTGAGGATATATGCCGACGATTGACCGCGTACGGGACGAATAACGACGAGAGCATTGACCAAGGCTACTTTTCAGCTTGAAAATTAGTCACAACAAAAATTAACAACAACACAACAGTGGCGTATCTAGAGGGGAGGGGGCAGGGGGCACGTTGCCCCCCCCCCCCCGGCTGATTTTTGTAAAACATATTTTTTCAGTAACTATTTCAATAATGGTTAGAGAGTTCTGACATGAAAAAAATGAAAGAGAAAGCTCCAAAACCATTACACTGCGCCGTGAAAATCGGCATATATTTTCCAGTATGCATGATGATGGTCAGTTCTGAAGAGCGCCTCCATTTGGAAGATGGGTACCAGCCCAAACCCCCCTCCTCTCCCCCACCCCCTTTTTTATACAGAGGCCAAGGGTCTGAAGAAAAACTTGAACACGTCTACATTTCGGCGCGGATGTGCGAGTGCGGTTGCCCCCCCCCCCCCACATCAAAAGCTGGATACGCCACTGCAAAAGAACTTTTGTTTTTAAGCCTCCTCAATCAAAGACGAGGCCTACTTACGTTCTTGCCACATTTTTGCATGCCGATTATGGCCTTAACAACCCCCCCCCCCCCCAAAAAAAATATCCAAATCCTCAGACAGAAGACCTTTGCATGGGACGAGCAACTGGGACGAGACATTATCAAATATCGAACGTCTGAGGGCGCTGTTTAACAAAAGAATGGAGAGATGGTGTGTTCGTTTCTCGTCCTGACGTGTTTCCAAATCATAATCTGCCTATATCTTAACTCGAAACTTCAAGCCACATTCTCACTGCTTGAAAGTTAGGCTTGAGAATGTGTTACATACACGTACACGTGCCCCACCTCCCCACCCTGATCGGTAATAGCGCCCTCTATCAATTCTTATAATTTACGCTCGTCTCCACCGGACCATGCATAATCCAGACAGCGCTATCGACTTCTAATTTCTGTGAGCTCTCATTGGATAGAGTCAGTAGGCCTACATGTTCTTCTACGTGCTCACGATCCATGCGCACAAAATGCGCATAAATTGATTTTGGTAAGCGACTCTTTTTTTAAGGTCACCCTAAAAGGTGTCCATAAGTCATTACCACTTTGAAACAACGAAAGATGATACACTTTATTGCAGAAATGATCCACTACATTTCCACACAGAATTCATCTATTTTCCCCCAGAAAATTGAGCACAGGAAAGTAAAGGGGAGGTACATGAATGGGTTTCACCATAAACGTTGTTCGTTTGCCATCCCTAAAATTCTGAGAGGGGGGAGGGGGGCAACTAACCTTTGCTCATATCTTTCATTTGTTTGTAAGCCTAGACACCAATTCCAACAAGCTCATACAACAAGACTTGAAATTATATTCAAGTTTCTTATGCTTTGTGGAGACCTCCATCCATCATCCATACACAATAATTCGAATGTTAAGTAATTGTATATGTGTATGTAAAATATGAAAAGTAAGATTTGAGGCTTTGCATGGTGGAGACTAGATAATGAAAGGTTTGCGGAAACACCATGAGCGAATAATTTCTCAACTAAGAGAATGGTTCTGAAAGGAACCAGAGGTATAAACTCGACGTTCCGGTCAGTATGCTCTGACCGTCCTCAAGACGGTCAGAGCATACTGACTGGAACGTCGAGTTTATACCTAAAATATGAAAGATTTTGATTGATTGATTGAATAGGTAGCTTACTTGATTATAAAGGTGTATACGTTGATGTAGCTATCAGAACCATTCACTAATGTTTGTTCCGTTAATTAACACGAGCATGGTAGCCTTAATGCATGTCTGACGTCATATCCAAGGAAAGATGACATATGGTAGGCCTGTGTATTTTGACGGATTGTGTTCAAACATTAGACATGTTTGTCTTTACTACTGTGACAATGAAAACGATAATTACTCTGTTGAGTGTAAAACCATTGATAGGTTACATTGATTATTTGAAATTCAGACTAATTGTCAGAGATTTATGGGGTCTTATTTTGTTTAATTGGAATGGACACAAGGCCTCTACCATTTCAGGACATTTTTAACAATGATCATCAGAATAAATGTGTAACTTTTTTCAGTTTGTGAATTGGAATTAAAAAGAAGTTTTTAAAAGTGAAGTCGTTTTGAAATTCTTAAGTACATGTATCTGTGTGTCTTGTTGAGCCTAAAACGTCCTTATATTTTTAGAGAATGGACTTCGATTTAAACCAGACTACGGTAACCGTCAGATATCTATTTGGTTCATTTTATGGTTCTCTCTTATTTCGATGTTCAACAACTGTGCATTCAGTCGCTTATAGTATGACAAAGACTAAAAAGCCCGCCAAATAGACCACATT